GTCAACTCTGTTATCGTCAACTCTGTTATCGTCAACTCTGATACTGTCCACTCTGTTACTGTCTGTTATCGTTAACTCTAATAATGTCAACTCTGTTATCGTCAACTCTGATGCTGTCAACTCTGTCATCGTCAACTCTGATAGTGTCAACTCTGTTATCATTAACTCTGTTATCGTCAACTCTGTTATCATTAACTCTGTTATCGTCAACTCTGTTATCGTCAACTCTGATACTGTCCACTCTGTTACTGTCTGTTATCGTTAACTCTAATAATGTCAACTCTGTTATCGTCAACTCTGATACTGTCAACTCTGTCATCGTCAACTCTGATAGTGTCAACTCTGTTATCATTAACTCTGTTATCGTCAACTCTGTTATCATTAACTCTGTTATCGTCAACTCTGTTATCGTCAGCTCTGTTATCGTCAACTCTGTTACTCTCAACTCTGTTATCGTCAACTCTGTTACTCCAACTCTGTTATCGTTAACTCTGATACTATCAACTCTGTTATCGTCAACTCTGAAACTGTCCACTCTGTTACTGTCTGTTATCGTTAACTCTAATTATGTCAACTCTGTTATTGTCAACTCCGATAGTGTCAACTCTGTTATCGTCAACTCTGTTACTGTCAACTCTGTTATCGTCAACTCTGATACTGTCAACTCTGTTATCGTCAACTCCGATAGTGTCAACTCTGTTATCGTCAACTCCGATAGTGTCAACTCTGTTATCGTCAACTCTGATACTGTCAACTCTGTTATCGTCAACTCCCATAGTGTCAACTCTGTTATCATCAACTCTGTTATCATCAACTCTGATACTGTCCACTCTGGTATCGTATGTTACACCCCATTCACACGGGGCGTCAGCGTCAATGATTTCCATTTACTTTGAATGGGTGACGTCAGGCATTGCCGAACTGCAATGTGGATCCGTCTATGCCGCTTCAGTGGCATTGCTTGCTGCAGAAGTTGGGAATTTCTCAACTTTTTAAGACAGACATGTCAGCCAATCAGATTGCTTTATGCAAATACACTAGCTCAGACAGCAGCCGATTAAAGAATAATTTCATTGGCTGACGCTGCTATGACAACCGTGTCAGCCCCAACTTCAGACACGCCCTCTGTTAAGCGTTGACGCTGAAGCCCCGTGTGAATCGGGCATTACTGTCAACTCTGTTTTCATCAACTCTGTTATTGTCAACTCTGTCTGGCTTACAAAGTTTAATAATGATTAGAAATAATGAGTAATAACTCAAACGATTTGTGATAAGTGAAGGGTGAGTAAATGATGACAGAATGTTCAGTTTAGGGTGAACTGTCTCTTTAAGAATTGAAAATATGTGTTGTTGTAATATTGTTGAGGAGATGCTGGATCAGCGGCGGTCGAGATCTTATGTAAGCCTGACACTGGATCCTGACAGTCGGAGCCAGAATAGTGAAAGCGCCTCTGTTTGTGTGTGTGTGTGTGTGTGTGTGTGTGTGTGTGTGTGTGTGTGTGTGTGTGTGTGTGTGTGTGTGTGTGTGTGTGTGTTTTCATGATTTCTGGACTGGAATGTTCAGGCCGTTCCAGGGGCTTTTCATGCCACAGGGCCTTTCAATGGCCGCTGCTGAATGGCTTCAGTTTGCTTGTGTGTTGAGCTGAAGCAGCAGAAATGTTTCTCTGCCTGCTCTCCATCAGAGCCCTGAATGAAGATCACGGGAGGCTGGTGTGACTACAGATAGAGCTGTGCATTGTGGAGAACTGCATTTAGCATTAGTAGCCGGTTCTACAAGTTCATTCATTAATTATCATCAGGGGTCGCCACAGCGGAATGAACCACCAACTTATCCAGCATTTGTTTTCCACAGCAGATGCCCTTCCATCTGCAACCCAGCACTGGGAAACTAAGATGAAGTTAATGTTTTTAAAGCTGTAAAAAATCCAAATGTGAATTAATCCTGCACAATCTCGCTCCTCCATACCTTACTAATCTTGTTCATAACTTTTCCTCAGCTTTGGAAATCACTTCCTCCTGATCTTCGTAATTTAGACTCTCTTTGACAATTTAAATCCAAACTCAAAACATGAGTGATTTAGATGACCCGACTTCATTTCTTAAAGTTTGTATTGTATTCTATAGACTGTTATTGTGTTTTTATTTGAACTCATTGTTCTAGCTGTGGGCGAGGCAGTGGCGCAGTAGGTAGTGCTGTTGCCTCACAGCAAGAAGGTCGCTGGGTCGCTGGTTTGAACCTTGGCTCAGTTGGTGTTTCTGTGTGGAGTTTGCATGTTCTCCCTGCCTTCGCATGGGTTTCCTCTGGGTGCTCCGGTTTCCCCCACAGTCCAAACACATGCGGTACAGGTGAATTGCGTAGGCTGAATTGTCAGTAGTGTTTGTTTGTGGATGTTTCCCAGAGATGGGTTGCAGCTGGAAGGGCATCCGCTGCGTAAAATCTTGCTGGATGGGTTGGCGGTTCATTCCGCTGTGGCGACCTCAGATTAATAAAGGAACTAAGCCGACAAAAAAATAAATGAATGTTCTAGCTGTCCTGTACGGTGACCTTGAGTGTCATGAAAGGCACCTTTAAATCAAATTAGGGGTGCACCGATATGAATTTTGTGGCCGATATTGATAACCGATAACTCTTCAGACTAGCCGATAGCCGATATATATAGGCTGATAATTATAAATATTTCAAACTGTTATATTTTCATAATCTAAATTGCATAATTCCCCACATACCTCCACCAAGGTTATTATAGTTAACGAAAACAAACGAAAAAAAATAAAACTAAAATGTAAAATAATTGTCGTTAACTGTAATAAAAAATAAAAATGAGTTTTTAAAAAAACAGAATTAACTGTATTGTGTACATACAAAACTAACTGAAACTGACTACAATTATAGCAAAAACCTCCTTAGTTTTCGTATTTGTAACTGTGTTTAATACAATATCTTACTGTAAGCCTTTTAGAAGTAAATATAACTCCCGCTGCAGGTGTTTGTGTTTGACCCTTTCGCACCTCAGTGTCTCCTGCAGCCATTGGCCAGAATTGTGTGTGTGTGATGTTGATCACGTGTTAAAGACCAGAGCCTGGTTTACAGGGAGGGAAGGAGTGAAAATACTCAGAGAAAAGGAAGAGTGAGATATTTCAGTCCTTGGAGAGGCTGAGTCATACAGGACAGAGAAATAAACCAGTGTGTGTGTGTGTGTGTGAATCTCATTCTCGGTTACTGGGACATGAAGAAATCTCCAGGATGAAAGTGATATCTGCAGTTCAAAGGCTTCTTTCAAATATTCGCTTCTTCCGTTTCCATTTCCGGACATATTCAAATTAAAGCGCGACTGCAAACGTATTTCCTTTCCTCAGCAACACACCCGAAGTTCATGCATTCATTCATTTTCAGCTTAGTCCCTTTATTAATCTGGGGTCGCTACAGTTTCACACAGCAAATGCCCTTCCAGCTGCAACCCATCTCTGGGAAACACCCACACACACTCATTTACACTCATAAACTACGGACAATTTTTATTCCCTATAGCGCATGTGTTTGGACTGTTGGGGAAACCGGAGCATCCGGATAACACCCACTCGTAGGCAGGGAGAACATGCAAACTCCACACAGAAACGCCAACTGAGCCGAGGTTCGAACCAGCGACCTTCTTGCTGTGAGGCGACAGCACTACCTACTGCGCCACTGCGCCACCCTCACATCTAAAAGTATTAGACAATATTGTGAGGTCCACTGGACGTCCTCCTGGCTTTATGTGTGGCCCAAGGGTGTGATGATGTCACAGGATGTGGATGGGTTCATCTTCCTGTCTGGCCGGAGGCTTAATTGATCCAGTAAACGTTCAGTTATGGAGGAGGAATAATGAACTCCCAGAAGACACACACACACACACACACACACACACACACACACACATTAAGAACTGCAGGAGAGCTTTCAGCACTACTTGGATTGCAGTTAATTTATTGATTTGATCAACCCTTTCAGGCTGCAAACATCAGTTGTGTTGACATTATTAGTATATTAGTTTATTACACGTCTGTCTGGAATACTCGATTCTGATTGGTCAGTTGCAGCATTATTGCCTTTGTTATTCCCAGATAACCACCACTGAATAACTCAGACTCATCCAGGTATTTCAGTATCAGTATTAATCGTTTTTAGGATGTTTATAATCTAGTGCGCACCAAAATGCTGACAAAATTCACATTTAGAAGATATAAACTGAGGCAAAACACGCAAAGTTGCTGGTCACTTCCCCCTAAATAGATCTAAACGGTTTTGTAAACGTCACATCATGCTTAGTTTCTGATTAAGCCAATTAAATGCTGTCTAGTGTCTGACATGCCCCGCCCCTTTCTTCTCATTGGCTGTTCATTTGATGTGCTTGATCTCAACCACTTCCACTGTCAGCAATGCTAAACTAAACGCTATTGGCTGACTCTTTTAAAGGGGAGGAGCAACTACATGCCCCGCCCCCTCTCTTCATTCTTTAGTGGAGATGACGTCACACATCGATTAAAGAAATACACATTTTAAAGCACTTCACAAGACTTTTAACTTGTAATTTGACGCAAGGATGATATAATGCAAAGAATAGCTTTATTAATGCACCTACGCTAATAAAAAATCAAGATATTAAAAACATCTGAGGGTTTAAGTCGTATGAAATGCTTTCAAATGATCATTTGTTGGCATAGTTTGGCATATATTAGCTCCTCCCCTTAGAAAACAGCCAATAAAAAACAGCCTGGCTGGTATTCAACTGTTCAACATTTACTGTTTTAAGTACGACAGACATATATCAGCGTTAATATTATATCAGCGAGTTGATTCAACATACAGACCATGAAGTGTTACACCTGTATTAATATGGGAGTTTGTTTTTATTGTTTGTTTTTGTAGCTTCGTCTTTAATATATCTCTCCACACAGGTGTTTTATGTGTGAGTATATCTAACATCCCTGTATTTCCCTCTCTCTGTGTGTGTTTCTCTCAGGTTGTGCAGTCTGACGCTGAAGAAGCTGATCGTCCTGAAAGAGCTGGACCGGGAACTCAGTTCTGTTGTGATTGCCGTCAAAATACAGGTAAAGCCCGAGTCAAGCTAGAAGGGATACAGCTGCAGCTGGTAGATTCATTCATTTTATTTTCGGCTTAGTCCCTTTATTAATCCAGGGTCGCCACAGCGGAATGAACCGCCAACTTATCCAGCACGTTTTTACGCAGCGGATGCCCTTCCAGCCGCAACCATCTGGGAGACAGCTGGAAGATAATCAGAATAATTTATATTATTTATTAAATTACACATTAAAATAAAATGTAATAATGCCTACCCCAACACTTACAGTAATTATAACAAAAATGTTTATATTATTTATTAAATTCCACATTAAAATAAAATTTAATAATGCCTACCTCAACACTTACAGTAATTATAACAAAACTATTTATATTATTTATTAAATTACACATTAAAATAAAATGTAATAATGCCTACCCCAACACTTACAGTAATTATAACAAAACTATTTATATTATTTATTAAATTACACATTAAAATAAAATGTAATAATGCCTACCCCAACACTTACAGTAATTATAACAAAACTATTTATATTATTTATTAAATTAGCCATTAGTTGTATTTTAATAACGTCTATCTGTTCACAAATGTAAAAACAGCAATTAAACAAGAAAAATAAAAATGATTTGTTGAATTATTGCGATGTACATTGTTGGGGACTAGTTACACGTAACGGCGTTACGTAATTTAATTACAAAATAAAAGTAACAGTAATTTGTTACTGAAAAAAAAAGTGTAATTAAATTACAGTTACTTGTAAAATTGTTTAAGATTACAAATGGGTTACATCTAAAAATATTATTTAAAAATGTGGGATATGTTGAATATGAATCTGTTGCTCTGCCTGTTTTTGATATGCACGAGGCCTTCTGCTAAAGCCATTTATTAAAGAGCTGCTTTTCTGATGCTTTTGATTTGCGGCGCACCCACAGGCATAAACCCCGGGGGGAACATGTCCTCAGTATAATGCTTGAAAATGTCCATTAGAAACTTAAAAGTAATCAAAAAGTAATCAAATGTAATTAGTTACTTTACTTTTATAAAGTAATCGAAAAGTAGTGTAACATTACATTTTAAATAGAGTAATTTGTAATCTGTAATCTATTACATTTCCAAAGTACCCTCCCCAACACTGACTATGTTTCACCATTACAATGTATTTTATTAACCCTTAAGTACTGTTAGAGATGTTTTCATCCACTCTGGGGTGGTTTCGAGTCTTTTTTTGGTTTTCACCATCAGTCCTGATCAAAACTACTCAATTGTTTAGAAAATTACAGCATTTTAACTGCTTAATTTATAAGTGATGTCATTGATTTAGTGAAGAAAAACCACACAAAATGATGTATTTTCAATACTAAAGTAATTGTGGGCTGGATTTTTAACTATTTATCAAAGTTTTGCACAAGTGAAACAACTTTGTCTTTGATGCATTGTTTTTCTCCTTTATTTTACTGTTGGTGGCTTATTCTGCCCCATTGACTTCCATTATAACCATATATTTTAAATACAAAGCCACGACACCACATAATCATGCACTTTTGATTGTTGGTGGTTTTCCCTGTTGGGAAGAGGTTAGATTTGTAATTTTTACTGTTGATCATCAGTTGCCACCATTAACCCTTTAGTAAAAGCTTAGTTTCTGTAATTTATATAACAGCAAATTAAAGTGTGTGTGTGTGCGTTTGTGAGTGTGTGAGAGTGACCTTTACGCACTTTCCTTGAAGGGTCTAAGAAAATCTAAATATGCATCTCAGCTCTCAGAACTACATGGAGTAAACAAAAACAAAGACTGTGTATCTATACACCATCACATGTGCTTATAATGGAAGTCAATGAGGCAAACACTATATGAAATATGAAAGTCTAACAATGCATCAAAGCCAATGCCGTTAATTCCATTTCATTAAAGTATACCTCAAACCTAACCTTAAACTCAACCCTTACAGTAATGCAAAACAATAAATAATAAAATTATTGATTAAATTAACTATTAAAACTTATTTTATTAATAACCACCCAACTCTATTACTCACTGTAATGTAAAATATATTACATTTATTTATTAAATGAACAATTAAAGTGTATCTTATTAACGTCTACCCCAACCCAAACCCCTCACAGTAATATAAAAACAGTAATTATGAGTAGGTTTATTATTTAAATTTCAATTGCAAGTCAAAAATCATCTGCTAAACGACTCAGTGTAAATGTGTGAATGCATTATTTATTAAATTACCCAGTAATTGTATTTTATTAATACATACCTCAACCCAAACCCTCACTGTAATGTAAATTCAGCACTTATAATGAGAATAATGTAATAAATTACACAATAAATGTATATTATTAATGTCTACCCAACCCTGCCTCTTACAGTAATGTAAACATATTAAAATAATTTATTAAATTAACCATTTAAATGTATTTTAGCAATGTCTACCCCCACTCAACCCCTCACAGTAATGTAAAATATGTTCAAATTATTTAATAAATTAGCCGTTAATTGTATTTTATTAGTTTGTACCCCAACCCCACGGCTCATAGTACTGTAAGAACAGTGATCATCGCTGTACAGTAAAGGTATTATTATAATAACATGAATAATCCTCCATAACTCTGCCTCTCTGCTGTTTGTGTGTCGCTCTGTTCTTCATCCCTCGCGCTCCACTTTACACCAGACACCCTGGTAACTGCGGGCTGTTGCCACGGCGACAGCTTTGCTCAGTGGGAAGATGGGAATGAACGCAATAAGATGGCATGTGGGGGGCGAAGAGGTGCATTGTGGGAAACACTGAGGGGGTTTTTCAGAGCACTTGGAGGCTCTCAGCATTCCTTGCAGGTCACTCAGGCCACACATTTTTGGGTTTGGGACAGCTTTACGGCTTTACTAACGCAACTGAAATACATCCCATATTACTGAGAAATCTCACGACACCAAAGATATTTCATGTTTGGATGTATCTGGATGATAATGTGGCTGTAGGTTTGATTCTGAATGGCATAAAATGCCACTGGTTGCAGACATGTTTGAGTTTATGTTCCTGCATTTTCTTACAATGCAAACAATTTACGAAAACGCTCTAAATTTTTCACAATGCAAACAATTTACGAAAACGCTCAAAAATTTTCACAATGCAAACAATTTATGAAATTGCTCTAAAATTTACATAATGCAAACAATTTACGAGAAACGCTCTAAATTTTTCACAATGCAAACAATTTACGAAAACGCTCTAAAATTTTCACAATGCAAAAAATTTATGAAAAACGCTTTAAAATTTTCACAATGCAAACAATTTATAAAAAATGCTTTAAATGTTTCACAATGTAAACAATTTACAAAACGCTCTAAAATTTTCACAATGCAAACAATTTTAAAAAACGCTCTGGATTTTCTTACAATGCAAACAATTTACAAAAAACGCTGCATTTTTACATAACGCAAATAAATTAATATAACATGCTGCGTTTTCACACAACGAAAACGCGCTGCATTTTCTCACAATGCAAACAATTTTAAAAGACGCGCTACATTTTCTCACAATGCAAATAATTTTAAAAGATGCGCTGCATTTTCTCACAGTGCAAACACTTTTAAAAGATGCGCCACATTTTCTCACAAAGCAAACAATTTACAAAACGTACTGCATTTTCCACAACACAAACAATTTACGAGAATGCGCTGCATTTTCTCACAACGCAAACAATTTTACAAAAACACGCTGCATTTTCTCACGATGCAAACTATTTTCAAAGACGCGCCACATTTTCTCACAATGCAAACAATTTAAGAAAACGCACTGCATTTTCTCACAACGCAAACAAATAAAAGAAACTCGCATTTTCTTACAACGCAAATTTTTTTTAAAAAGCTGTATTTTCTAACAACACAAACAAATTAATACAAACGCGCTGCATTTTCTTACAACGCAAACAATTTTTAAAAAACTGCTGCATTTTCTTTCAACGCAAACAATTTATGAAAACTCGCTGCTATTTATTACAACGCAAACAATATTAGAAAATGCTCTGCATTTGTTTTACAACGCAATTTACGAAAACGCCTTGACTTTTCTAACAAACGCAAACATATTAATAAAACGTGCTACATTTTCTCACAAAACAGACAATTTACAAAAACGCACTGCATTTTCTAAGAAAGCAAACAAATGAATAAAACATGCTGCATTTTCTCACAACACAAACGCATATTAAAAAAACGCTCTGCATATTCTCACAATGCAAACAAATTTACAAAAACGCGCTGAATTTTCTCGCGACGCAAACAAATAAATAAAACGTGAATCCATTTTAGTTAACATTAATAACAAAATAAACAAATGCAACTTTTTTAATGTATTAGTAATTTGGGCTAATTAGTAACAAATGTGTTAATTAATGTTAATTAGTGCATTGTTTACTAATGAACTGTGTGCAATATTAATGCCCACTAATTATCAATAGCGCCAAATTTATTACGCTACATTTAATTAGCGTATTTCTGATTATTCTTCTATACAGTGTTCTGTTTTAACCTCATTATTTCTCTCATATTGCTATGTTCAGGTCATTTTCCAGGGACATTTTATTCCTGTTGCTCTGATAATCACTATTCGATTTATTAGAAATTATATTTAAGCTCAAACAATCGTAATACTATGCAAAGCAAAGCAGTTCCTGTTGTTCTCTTCATTAAAGTCAGTGTTTAGTCAGTAAAACTCAGCAAATTTGACATTTTGATAAGAGTGGGATAACCCATTACAAAGACAGAAATGTGTTTGTGCTACAGTGAATGCATTTAATTGTATAATAATAATAATAATGAAGCGCTGATTTTTACAGCAGTGTGTGGGTGCAGATCTGCAGCTCATGAGCCTCATTCTTACACCTTTATATATTTCATTCCCATCAGGAGACGATTGTGTCAGTCATTCTGCAGGGATTAGAGCACATCCGCTTAGGTTACATCAGGTGCACTTGTTTTCGCCCACTCGTCTCCTCCAGATGGATCGCTGAAGGTTTAATCTGGTTTACAGTGTGTTGATCAGACGCCGAAAGTAAAGCTAGTGTTTGAGACTCGCAGAGCGATCGTAATAATGTGCAGAGAGACTATTTCTGCGGGATGAAGTGTCCGCTTGAATTCACACATTGAAGGCCAGGGCATTCATAAAACCCAACCTTCATTTACTGCGCATTGAGAGCGTCTGTGCTCAAGAAAACACGTAATGAATGCGCTTCCTCTCAGAAACCTTGATAGACGTCATCAATGGCTTTTGAAGAGCTTCTTCACGTCTGCAGGTTGTGCTGTGGACAGTAGCTTGATCAGTTTTGTGCAAATTGAATGGACTCTTAATTTTCTTTTATTATATTAGGATCATTCTTTAGACATTGTTATTCATAAAAATGTCAGCAACAGTTTCTGAAATACTCTGATCAATCAATCTCACACTCGGAGTGTGTTTACAGCTGGACACTTCCAGTGTTTTCTGTGATCGGATTAAAGCTGTCTGCTTTGTGAGAACGGTTCTACTTATATTTGGCCACACACAGTTAAAGCAGAAGTTGACATACGCTATATAAAGAGGCACATAAGCATCTTTTCTTAACGAATAACATAGCAGACGCTTTTATCCAAAGCGACTTACAAATGGACAAGGAAGCAATTTACACAACTATAAGAGCAACAATGAAGAAGTGCTGTAGGCAAGTTTCAGGTGTGTAAAGTCTAAGAAGCAAAACATTAGTAATGTAAGTTTTTTTTTTGTAGTAGTAGTAGTAGTACAGTTAGTGGTATATCCAGAGAGGCAATTTCTGATTAGGAAGGGAAGTGGAGACTAAATAGTTGAGTTTTTAGTGGTTTCTTGAAGACAGCGAGTGACTCTGCTGTTCTGATGCAGTTAGGGAGTTCATTCCACCAACTGGGCAGATTGAATGCGAGAGTTCGGGAAAGCGTTTTCTTCCCTCTTTGGGATGGAACCACGAGGCGACGTTCATTCACAGAATGAACGTCGCCTCGTTTCTGGAGGACACATACATCTGCAGAAGTGAGAAGGAGCAAAGCCAGAAATCGCTTTGTAAGCAAACATCAGAGCTTTGAATTTGATGAGAGCAGCAACTGGCAGCCAGTGCAAACGGATGAGCAGTGGAGTGACATGTGCTCTTTTATGTTCGTTAAAGACCACTCGTGCTGCTGCGTTCTGAAGCATCTGAAGAGGTTTGATAGAGTTAGCTGGAAGCCCGGCTAGTAGAGAGTTGCAATAGTCCAGTCTGGAGAGAACAAGTGCTTGAACAAGGAGTTGAGCTGCATGTTCAGATAAGAAGGGTCGGATCTTCCTGATGTTACAGAGTGTGAATCTGCACGATCGAGCAGTTCTAGAAATGTGGTCAGAAAAGTTTAGTTGGTCATCAATCGTTACTCCAAGGCTTTTCACCATTTTGGATGCAGTAATGGTTGCCCCGTCCATCTGGATTGAAAAGTTATGATATAGAGTCGGGTTAGCAGAAACTTCAAGCATTTCTGTTTTCGCGAGGTTAAAAGTTTATCCTACTCAGTTATGCGCGTGTTTTTTTATGTGTATTTTTAAAATGTATGCGCATCATATCTAAAATGCGCAATAAATAGGTGGATGGAAACGTAGCTAGTGCATGTTTTATTTTCAGCTCTGTTTCTCTGATTTTCAGGGCTCGAAACGCATCCTGAGGTCCAACGAGTACATGCTTCCCCCGAGCGGATTGATGGAGACAGACCTGGAGCTTTCTTTCTCGCTGCAGGTACGCACACGCACACACACACACACTATACTCCATAGCTTATATTTGCACTGCAACTGATGATCAAAAATAAAAATTGCACAATTCACCTCTTCCCAACAGGGAAAACCAGCAACAGTCAAGAATGCATGATTATAGGCTGTCATAGCTTTGCAATTAAAATATGATTATAATGGAAGTCAGTGGGGCAAAAACAGCCCCCAACACAACCAAAGGGGAGCCAATTTGACCAGAGTGTATCGCTTCAAGGCATTTTTAGAAAGTATTCGCTTCACCTTTTCCACATTTGTTTATGTTACAGCCTTATTCTATTAGGATCCCTTGAGCTCAGGGCTCTCTCCCGGGACAACATGCCTAACTAGCTATGTCTAAATCATGAGCTAAGTGTGAACTCTTGAAATAGATGTAAAGGTGCACTTGTGTGTCTGCTTCTATTATTGATCAGGTGATTGAGGCTGATTTGACATTTGAAATGTAAGCAGAAGTAAACAATAGTGTTTAGAAAGAATAATAATCCCATTAATCTAGTTACAGTACATGTCGAAGGTCAGTGAATTTAAGCTAATTTTGTATTAATAAAGGACGAGCCGTTCTCGTACGAGACTTTGTTCTGTGTGACTGAAATGTAATTAATAGCCGTTTCCATCCAAAAATATCGATTAAATTTATGTGCAAAACTGGAATAACACATAAACGATGTGCGAATAAAGCAGCGTTTCTTTTTGTAATGTATTTTATAATCTTTTTATTATGTTTTTAAATTATTATCAGACATACTGTGAACATTTCCTGAATCTGTTCAACATCATTTGGGAAATAAAGTAGAAACTAAAAATCCCAGTGGGATCCCAATTCTGACTTCAGCCATGTCCTTCCAAGAACTCTTCCTCCAAAAACCGCCGTCTCTGAAAGGAACTCGTGAGACTTCCTCAAATAAACAGCAGTGATTATGAAAATGATGAAATCTCCAGCAACAAATGGACTCTTAAACCACTCTCTCCTCTTCCAAATCCTGTCTGTAGTATCCACACTTCCTGAAGCGAGACGCCAACCGGCTGCAGATCATGCTTCAGCGCAGGAAACGCTACAAAAACAGGACTATTCTGGGCTACAAGACGCTCGCCGTGGGGGTTATTAATATGGCTGAGGTATGAATGCACACACACACACACACACACACAATGTTTCATTCGGACAGGCGGTGACCTCTTTATTTTGACCTATGACTTTGGCTTCAAATGAGGTCAATGTATGCCAATATTGCTGGCGTTTCTGTGTGGAGTTTGCATGTTCTCCCTGCTTTCGCATGGGTTTCCTCCGGGTGCTCCGGTTTCCCCCACTGTCCAAACACATGCGGTACAGGTGAATTGGGTAGGCTAAATTGTCCGTAGTGTATGAGTGTGTGTTTCCCAGAGATGGGTTGCGGCTGGAAAGGCATCCGCTGCGTAAAAACGTGATGGATAAGTTGACGGTTCATTCCGCTGTGGCGACCTCGGATTAATAAAGGGTCTAAGCCGACAAGAAAATGAATGCATATGTTTTGGATGTGCACTTGTGGTGGTTTTCAAATCTTAAATGTGTATTTTTTTAATTATTAATTAGAAAAACTCTTAATTGTATTCATGATTGTTTATTTAGATAAGTAAGTTCTATTGAATTGTTTGATTTAATCTTTTGCTGTGACTTAGAGTACATTTATTTTTGTGCATTCTAATTGGTTTTTTTTTAAATATATTGATATATATTAAACATTATTTCATTTATTCTTATTGTGATTGTTTTAAAGATATTGATGTACACTCACTGGCCACTTTATTAGGTACACCTTACTAGTAGTTTGGACTCTCTTTTAACTTCAGGACTGCTTTAATCCTTCATGGCGTAGATTCAGCAAGGTTCTGGAAATATTCCTCAGAGATTTTGCTCCATGATAGCATCACACAGTTGCTGCAGATTTGTCGGCTGCACATCCATGATGCCAATCTCCTGTTCCACCACATCCCAAAGCTGCTCTATTGGATTGAGCTCTGGTGACTGTGGAGGCCATTTGAGTACAGTGAACTCATCGTCATATTACATATTCTAACTGTGATTGTAAGAATCTGCATGAATGCGCAGTCATGCTTTAAAAAAGAGGCCTGTGTGTGTGATTTATGTGTGTGTTTTGTGCTGAAGGTGATGCAGCATCCCACAGACGGAGGGCAGATTTTGGGTCTGCACAGTAATGTGAAGGAGGCGCCGGTGCGAGCAGCAGAGCTCAGTGTTTATTCACTATCCAGTCAACCAATCGACCCGGAGGACGGCAGTGGACAGCCCGAAACCAAGGCCAAAACATCAGGTCAATCACACTAATGCTCATTCTGTGTAATTAATCACATTATTAAACAAATATCCATACAATTCAGAAGTCGACGCACACCAAAACACATGAACACATCTTATCAGAAGTGATAAGGACACTGAAATTCTGTACTCGCCCAATAGTACTGCATCCTCACAACTATTGCGAGTCAGTTTGCTCAGTAGCTCACATGGTACAGTAAAACAGCATTGCAAAAACCTAGAGCGCCACCAGCTGTTAAACACTAGCCTAGAGCAACATCTGCTGTTAAACACTAGTCTAGAGCAGCATCTGCTGTTAAACACTAGCCTAGAGCAACATCTGCTGTTAAACAGTAGCCTAGAGAAACATCTGCTGTTAAACACAAGCCTAGAGCAACATCTGTTGTTAAACACAAGCCTAGAGCACCATCTGCTGTTAAACACTAGCCTAGAGCACCATCTGCTGTTACACACTTGCCTAGAGCGACATCTGCTGTTAAACACTAGCCTATAGCAACATCTGCTGTTAAACACTAGCCTAGAGCAACATCTGCTGTTAAACACAAGCCTAGTGCACCATCTGCTGTTAAACACTAGCCTAGAGCACCATCTGCTGTTAAACACTAGCCTAGAGCGCCATCTGCTGTTACACACTTGCCTAGAGCGACATCTGCTGTTAAACACTAGCCTATAGCAACATCTGCTGTTAAACACTAGCCTAGAGCGACATATGCTGTTAAACACTAGCCTAGAGCGACATGTGCTGTTAAACACTAGCCTAGAGCGACATATGCTGTTAAACACTAGCCTAGAGCGTCGTCTGCTGTTAAACACTAGCCTAGAGCGTCGTCTGCTGTTAAACACTAGCCTAGAGCTACATGTGCTGTTAAACACTAGCCTAGAGCGACATGTGCTGTTAAACACTAGCCTAGAGCAACATCTGCTGTTAAACACTAGCCTAGAGCGCCATCTGCTGTTACACACTTGCCTAGAGCGACATCTGCTGTTAAACACTAGCCTAGAGCAACATCTGCTGTTAAACACTAGCCTAGAGCGACATGTGCTGTTAAACACTAGCCTAGAGCGACATATGCTGTTAAACACTAGCCTAGAGCGTCGTCTGCTGTTAAACACTAGCCTAGAGCGTCGTCTGCTGTTAAACACTAGCCTAGAGAGACATCTGCTGTTAAACACTAGCCTAGAGCGTCGTCTGCTGTTAAACACCAGCCTAGAGCGTCGTCTGCTGTTAAACACTAGCCTAGAGTGACATGTGCTGTTAAACACTAGCCTAGAGCGACATGTGCTGTTAAACACTAGCCTAGAGCGACATATGCTGTTAAACACTAGCCTAGAGCGTTGTCTGCTGTTAAACACTAGCCTAGAGCGTCGTCTGCTGTTAAACACTAGCCTAGAGCGACATCTGCTGTTAAACACTAGCCTAGAGCGACATGTGCTGTTAAACACTAGCCTAGAGCGACATATGCTGTTAAACACTAGCCTAGAGCGTCGTCTGCTGTTAAGCACTAGCCTAGAGCGTCGTCTGCTGTTAAACACTAGCCTAGAGCGTCGTCTGCTGTTAAACACTAGCCTAGAGCGTCGTCTGCTGTTAAACACTAGCCTAGAGCAGGGGTTCTCAAACTTTTCAGGCCGCGACCCCCAAAATGACAATGCCAGTGAGTCGCGACCCCCAATATATTCTGAGGTGGTTATAAATACAGAAACCTTGCATGCAATGGAGCACACACACCAATGGACCCAAGTCTATCTTCTTTTAATTTTTTCAATGTATGAGAGCTGTAAATGGGCAACAAAGTTTTACCAGGTGTTATGAAATCTGCTGCATCTGACGCTATTGCTGTGTCTTTAATATAATGTAATTACCCCAGGGGTTGCAATCCAATAGAAGTAGTAACTATAAGCTACTATAGTAACTATATGGTATAAACAACGATTTTTTCTCTTCAGTAGGTTATGGATAAAATATGGTAATTCTTATGGTTTAATAAAAATAAATAGATTTTTGGAAATCACCAGGCGACCCCCCTTCATTGTCCCGCGACCCCTCGGGGGGTCCCGACCCCCACTTTGAGAACCATTGCTCTAGAGCACTGTTTGCTCATAACCAAAGATACTCAAGAAGTGGTAGGGATGAGTTGTAGTAATGGGATTGACTCTTAATGGGACGAAGCGCAACATAACATGACGAATCTTTAACCACTTCACCAAACCACCTCATGTATACAGTTACAGTGTTCCCCCTGTGGCTGCTGTTGTACACTCATTATATTGACTACAAGATGCTAATGGCCAGTCTGAGTGCATTAAGCTGCAATAAAGATGAAAAGTCCCCCGGAAACACAACCTCGCACCAGACATCTCTCCGTCCGTCATATCAGAACACAAAGAGAGAGTACTGATACATTAAAAGGGAAGCAGCTCAAACTGGAGTAAAACAATCGCAGCGTTTGAAAGAAGTCATTTAAAGCTGAAGAATTGATTTATTATTGCAGTCAAAATTCAAGATACTGAAGAGGGATTTTTTTAGCTCGGCGAAAACTTGATGCAATCTCAGGTTGCCAGATTGACGTCAAATAGGAGCACATTTGCCTGATGATGGAGCCTTGCCGCTCAGCAAATGTTTAATCTGCTAAAATTAGTACTTCTAGCAAAATGAAAACCACTTCATGTGGATTTTTATAACTCTAATGCTGTGTTCACCCCAGACGCGGAACGTCTGACCCTGACCCTGGATGATGGAGGCTTTCAGCGGTGCCCAGTCCAGTTTGAGGCACTGTTGTCAGTGTCGGGTGGAGGATTTTCCCCAGGACACCAACAACAGGCGATACGTCACAATCACGCCCCCACAAGAGCAAGCTCCTGATTGGTTAACGCGGCGCGAATGTCCGCTGAAGCTCAGATTTTGCATTTCAGAGCATTTGCATTGACTTAACATGTAAATCACTCGCGCTTGGTGCGCCTTCGCGTCTGGTGTAAAGACAGCATTATGCTGTGTTCTCACCAGATGCGCTATGCGCGGATAAATTGCGCTATTCGTGCGTAAATAGACGCGTGAACATGTTGAGTTTACTCACTTCATTCGTGCGCCAAATCCACTTCACAATAGATGGTCAGGGCTTCTGTCTGCCTGGTGACTCTAGCTTTGTTGCTAAATGGCTAACATGGATTTTATTGCGGGAATAACTGTGTTTACGTGCTTTATTAAGGCTGAATAACAGCGTTCATTTGTTTGGAGTCCACGAGATCCTTTTTAGAGGTGCACCAGCGCTGTGAGCTCATCAACTCCTTCAGAGACTGAACCTGGATGATGGAGGCTTTCAGCGGTGATTCAGACTGAGCTGAGCCCAGTTTGATCAACTGTTATCCGGTGCCGGCAGGAAGATTTACCCTGAGACACCAACAGCAGACGCTACATCATAAGCCCGGCCCTACAAGAGAAAGCTTCTGATAATGCGGCGCGAGAGTCTGCTGAAATTCAGATTTTTCCAACTCTTCCGCTTCATTCGCGCAAATTGCATCATTCGCACCACCTCATTCGCGCATATCTCACCGCAAGATGTCTATTCGCGCATTTGCATTGACTAAACATGTAAATGACTCGCGCATAATATGTAAATTCTTCAGGGTCTGATGTAAACGCAACATAAATATGCTATTTTGTAGGCTGCTACTGTTCTCTAAAAGTCACATTCTCAACTGCGCCTGCATAAATTGATGCATCCTTCATGAAATACGCCGTTTTCCATCAACTGGCAACCCTTAGTGCTGGAATATAATGGGGTAAACTGGCAGTGGGCTGGTTATAGAGAGCAAAACAGAGACAGACATTCCCAACACATATTCACAACGCAGAATAACTTCAGCATTGTGTTTCAGTGTTCTCTCAGCATGTTTCTGAAATATTGTCACGCTATGGGGGTGGATAGCACAGAACAGAGCACACTAGGAGAATAAATAGGATAGACAAACCAATGAACAGACAGGCGGACAGGTGAAATAATAATTACAAACAGGATAACAAGGAGGGTGGGACAAGACAATAGACGGGAGAGCGCATGACGGAGACGAGACAAGCCATGCGCTCACATAAAACAGGACAAGAACATGCAGCCAATGAGAGAACTCATTAACCGCATGTTCATGACAACACAAGCACAACACTGAAGCCCACGACAAAAGCACGTGACCACAATGTGAACACAGAGCAACGTGCTTTGACAACAGACGCAAGACACGAGCACACGATGAATGAAAACACTCACCGTGCGCTCACACACGCAGCGTGCATGCTTCATCCCAGCGCCGACCAAAACCGAAACCAACTAGACTGAGACGCTGGGAATGAAACACCACGCTGCAGACAGACGAAAACACAAACACGAGTACAAGAGCGCGGAGGGAGGGACGCAGAGACCGCGCAGCCGCATTAAGCGGGAGCGCACACGCTCTGCACACACCCACGAAGGCGCGCGCACACACGGAGACACAATGACAGAAACAAGTGCTCGACCCAAGAAAACTTGAGCCGAGCACAACAGGACAGGATTAGACATGACTAGTGACCGGATTCTGCCACCAAAACAAGAATTTACATGACCAGAGTGGCAGAACCCTGACAAATATCTGCAAATATTATGCTATTTTTATATTCGCTGCTTTTATATTATGCTTTTTTACACTGTTTTCCATCAACTGGCAACCCAGAGTGCTGGAATATAACTGGTTAAACTGGCAAACTCCCAACACACATTCACAACGCAGAATAACTGACTTCAGCATTGTGTTTCAGATAAAGAAGACTGTTCTCTTAGCATGTTTCTGAAATATCTGCAAACATATTATGCTATTTTTATGCTATGAAGGACTCAAGAAACTTACAGTGCTTTGGATTTTCCCTTGATCTGAGCTTTTTCTGCCGTAGCGTTCGTCATTAAATGTCTTCTTCCCTCTTTCAGACCGTTCTCCAGATATGGATAACTACTCTGAGGATGATGATGATAGTTATTCGTCAGAGCAAGAGGCCAGTGATGATGCTGTTCAAGGCCAGGTCTGGGTTTCTTCCAACATCTCTTCATCATTGTGAAAAACTCTGATTCTGATTCCCCCATACCTGCTGTCATTATAATCTGACAAGTACATTTTGCATTTCCAAGATAAACCTGTTATTAGTTTTTATATATAAATGTTTTCTTTGAAACAGCTTTTTAAAAATAATACTAAGTATTTAAGTTAATTAAATCATACTAAATTAAGTAAGCTATCTCTAAAAAGAGTGAAGAACTGAAATAGACAGTGCCATTGACCAACTAAAAGCTGCTCTAAAGTCCAGCGCAGTGTGTTAGTTATGCACCTATGCAGGTTTAAACACTCACACACAGCTGAATACACACAGGATGATCAGCAACACACAGATATCTTTACAGATGAAAACAATTAAAGGATTAAAATGATCCAGAAATGATGATTTTCTACATCAATATAAACAGCACTGCCTCCATGCCTTCTTCACCTCGGGGGGCTTCTTCAGTTTATTCATGACCATCTGCATCTGTATAATGTGATTATTATTATCAGTATTATTGATTATCTGCAGATTTATATTAGTTTTAATAAACACAAGTGTAGATGTGTCCAGCTGTGGGGTTTTGGAGACGTCTGCATCAGCATATGGGGCATAAGAACAGGACGTGTGTTTGGAGATAACTCAGTTTTCTGACCACACTTCATTATTATTGTTCATTTATTCCTTTGCTGGAAATTAGAACTGAACTTAGAAATAGTTTTGAAGCAAATCTTTATTAAAAAAAAAAGAAAAAAAGAAAAAATGTGTATGTTTTCCCACCAAATCAGTGACATCATTTATAAATTTGGCAAGTAAACAGCCAAAATCCTGTAATTTTTAAAAACATTTAGCTAAGGTTAGTTAACGGATTTATGCAAATATAAATTGAAAAAAATATTAATCTGATGCATTTTACTGCAGTTTAATTCAGTGGATGTTTTCACCCCGAACATAACAGAAGGGGAGTCAATTTGAACAGTGCTCAAGGGTTAGATTAGAAAAAGTGCATTTAGCCCAAGTAGATGCACCTTAAGACTTGCTCAAACCCGAGTCCAGTTTCTGAATTCACCCCTGTATCTTTTAATAAGATCTATTTGCAACAAAAATCTGGAAAATATCCTATTAATATTGATAATCTTCTGTTTCAGGACCTTTATGATGAGGATGACGATGTGCAGAGGAAGCCAAAAAAATCTCGAAGGAAAATGATAAGAACCACATCTATGACCCGGGTAAGTACTGACGGACTCATTCTGTTTTAATAAAAAACTGAGCACGTGACAGAAAGTGATCTGACCTGAAATAAACCCTGGGGAACCTCAGATGTAAAAATCAGACGAAATAAAAACACAGGCTCAGAGGTACCCAGAGGTACTTCTGGCTCCATTTCGTCTTTAAAACAAATGCTTTCAGGCAGTGTGATTCTGCATGGACCAAGATTCTCATAGAAATCAGTCAAGTTTGGTGAAGGAGAAATCATGGTTTGGGGGTCATTCAGTATGGGGGCGTGCGAGACGTCTGCAACATCAACAGCCTGAGGTAACAAGACATTTGTGCTGCCCATTACATTACAAACCACAGGAGAGAGACAATTCTCCAGCAGGATAGCGCTCCTTCTCATACTCCAGCCTCCACATCAAAGCTCCTGAAAGCAAAGAGTGCTCCAGGATTGGCCAGCCCAGTCACCAGAGATGAACATTATTGAGCTGATGAAGGAGGAGGTTTTGAAGATGAACACCTTTCAACTCTTTCTTTGGCATTCCAGATGACTTTATTAATCAGTGATGTGAGTCATGTCAGAGATGTATGGATGCAGTCCTTCAAGCTCATGATGGAGTCAGACACAATCTTCATTCTGTCTCCACTGCAGCAGGACTTTATATTCTATACTGGACATTATTTCTGTTCAGTGATGACACTTTAGTCTGAGCAGAGTCAGACCGCACTGTCCTCATCAAATCAGTCAACATCAAGACATGATCAGATTTATTGAGCTCAAATCAGCAAAATCTAGAGGCCTTCACCTTTCATAGAGACACTTCATCATCAAATCATCAACTAGAAGAACAGATATTACTTGTGTTCCTAAAACTTGGAAAATCCACAAGACTTTGTCAGGTAGCATACAGAGTAACCAATACTATATACTTCTTAAAAACCACCAGCTACACTTAAATACAAAAGGTTTGTGAATACTGTGATGCTTAATTTAGAAACAATAATCATTAACATGTATGAAAACACAATCATTAAGCACATTATAGATGAGCACAGCATTTGTAGCTGTATTTATAAACTGCTTACTAACATCTGTTAATGTAGTGTTAATGCTTAACAAATGAGGACTGAACTATTTGTGAATGCTTAATAAATGATTCATCGTGTGTAGTTATTATAAAGTGTTACCATTGAATTCACGAACGCTTCCAGTTCCTGCCACAGCGTACAATTATTAAAACGGCTCAATATATTATCATGATAAATTCATTGTCTTGATACAAGTCGTTTCAGGCTGCTACCTGCTAGAAGCAGCGTGTTATCCAGTGCTGAGGGTTTTAAAAGGTGATGTTTCAATCCTCTTATCTTAAGCTCACCATCAGGAACCCACATGTTAACTAACCCAGGATCAGTGTGTAAAACCAGAGCGACAGTACAATGTAGACACTCCTTCCCTTTCCTAAGCACATTCATTAAACACAAACCAGTCCCACTTTTAAGGGGGTTATGAAACTAAGCTTAACTGTGCCATAAATACATTAGAGATGGCAAGAGTACACACTTCCTTTACTCGAGGAGAAGTACAGATACTCATGCTTAAAGCCACTCTGGTAAAAGTTGAAGTACTGACTGCACTTTTGTACTTAAGTCAAAGTAAAGTAGGACGGCCTGAAATATGTACGCAAGTAAGCAGTATATGTTACTCTTCCTGTTTTAGTTTCGTGATGGTACCTACATTACAAACATTACAGTGTGAAACACTTTGACGCAGCTCGAGACAAATGTACATTTTGGAAAACATTTTTACCTGTCGTATTACACAATGACTTAGGATCATTGTGGAAACGTAGCCCTGCGGACGTTTCTGCCGACCGCGAAACACGTCCTGGGAGGTACGTATTTTTGCAGTTTTTATTTTCGCGACTCTGCGAGAGGCCGCTGTGACGCTCTTTTTCGCGTCTCGAACGCCTTACGGGAGCGCGCACCGTTTGCATCTGCGTTGTTCTCACCCAAAAAGCCGCCGGAGGCCGCTGTCGAGCGACTGTCTGTCCGACTGGCCGAATGACTGAACGATCGACTGGGCGGCCGACCCAGCCGTCCTCCTCCTCCTTCCCTAAACCTAAGTGACGATTTACAAAAGCCGTCCAGAAAAAGAAAAGCAAAAGCCCTCGTCCAATTTTGACCGGATTTCGCTGCATTCTCGCCTCGTCACGAACTCGTTCGCTTTTCGATTTTGTTTTTAATCTTACCTGCTTTCTGGAACCGCTCTTCCCCGGAAGCGAACCTGGTCGTTGCCGTGGGTGGCTCCTCCTCCTCCAGACCTCCGCTCCGCCGACGTAACACCACGAGCTAAGCAGACAAACTGGTTGCGGCGGGAAAGCCCTCTACACGGAGGTGAGTGAGCCGTCAGTCACAGCCGGCGAGCGCGAAGAAGAGGAGCGGCGTCACACCGCCCCATAGCATTCGCTCGAAAAAACCAAATGCGGCCATACGTTCCTCCGGCCACGTAAAACGCGGTCTCCAGAAACGTCCTGCGCTTTCAGAATGAGCTTGGATTGATTTTTTTTTTACCAAGGACGAAACAAATGTACATTTTAAAAAAAATATATACAAGACGTAAAACACTTACCAGTCCCCAAACAAATTTACAATAACAGATTCTTTCCGGAACGAGATTTAAAACAGTAAGGAGTAGAAAGTACAGGTATTTGTGTGAAAATGTGAGGAGGAAAAGTAAAAAGTTGTAAATAAGTAGTGGAGTAAAGTTGTCAGACCCTTGTGTTTTCATCATGTGACCTTCATCATGTGCTCCTTTGTTCTGTTTCCCACCGTTTCATTTTGTTTATCAGTTCCACCTGTGTTCCTCCCCTGTGTATCATCAGTGTCATTGGCCCATTCCCAATTCTACCCATTAGCCCAGGGGTGTCCAAACTCTGTCCAGGAGGGTCGGTGTCCTGCAGATTTTAGCTCCAACTTGCCTCAACACACCTGCAAGGATGTTTCTAGAAAGCCTAGTAAGAGCTTGATTAGCTAGCCCATGTCTGATTGGGGTTGGAACTAAACTTTGCAGGACACCGGCCCTCCAGGACTGAGTTTGGACATGCCTGCCTTAGCCCTTCCCTGTGGGTGAATAACCCATCATACGAAGATCTTTCAGGAGCACACTCGAAACCAAGGGGTAAACTTGCATCAAACGCGCAAAACGTTCAATCCGTGCCATTCGCACCACACCTTTCACACAATTCGCATCACTCACGCCATACGCACGTATCACGCCACAGGATGTTTATTCGCCCCTTTGCCTTGACTAAAGATGTAAATCACTCGCGCAAACACTCGTTATCAAGACGATTCATTCAAACCACTATAAGTCGACTCTTTTTTTAGATGAATCAATCGTTTTAAACACTGTCCACCTTCAGATTGAAGCCTCAGCTGGATATTTCACTTCACTCAGAGCTGTGTTTCACACTGTATGTTAGGTCATTCTCAAAAACCCATAATAGGGGCTCTTTAAGTGTAGTAGCATAGTATTTGTATTATTTCTCATCTCTGATGGTTGATACTGTAGGCAGAGGTGGATCAGGGCAGGTATAACTCTCGCTGCAGTGGATCTTTAAATTGAGTGTTTAAAAGGCACAAACCGGTCTTGATTATCATGTAAACACGCCTCAAGGCTCTGATTGACATTTAATGGCGTTTTCTCTCTACAGCAACCCAATTTCAAGCAGAAGTTTGTGGCTCTCCTGAAGAGATTCAAAGTGTCTGATGAGGTGAGTTTGCTTGTTTATGTCTTAAATGTGGTTTGCTTACTCACTGAAGCTAAGCAGGGCTGAGCCTAGTCAGTGTCTGCATGGGAGAGCACATGGGAACACTAGGTTGCTGTTGGATGTGGTGTTAGAGAGGCCAGCAGGGGGCGCTCAACCTGTGGTCTGTGTGAGTCCTAATGCTTTTGGATGAGATGTTAAATCGAGGTCCTGACTCTCTGTGCTCATTAATAACCCCATGGCAATTCTGGTAAAGAGTGGAGGTGTAACCCTGGTTGAGTCCCTCCATCGGCCCTGAACTTTACCGTAAAAAAATAAGTAGAAACGTAAAATAAATTTCTACATTTTAAGTTAAAATTCCAACAACCACAGCTGCTTTTTACCGGTGAAATGTTACCATGAAAAATATAGTAGGAACTTATAATAAATGTCTACATGTTAAGGTATAATTTCGACAAACACAGCTGCCATTAATTTTTAGCATCAAAATTTTACTGTAAAAATACTGTAGAAATCTAAAATCAATTTCTACAATTTATGGTAAACTTCTGACAACCTCGGCTACTGTGTTTTACTCTGAGTTTTACCATGAAAAACTGTAGTAATGTAAAATAAATGTCTACATTTTACTGTAAAAATCCAACAAGCACAGTTACTGTTTTTACTGTTGGACTTAACGTTAAAATTACAGTGGGAACGTAAAATAAATTTCAACATTTTACAGTAAAAATCCGAAAACACAACTTCCAGTTTTTACCATCGAAATTGTATTGTAAAGAAAACAGTGGGAGCGTAAAATAAATGTCTACATTTTATAGCAAAATTCCGTCAACCACAGCTGCCATTTTTACAGTAAAATAGATCACTACATTTCACTGTAAAAATCCAACAAGCACAGCTGCTGTTTTTTACTGTTGGAATTATAACATTAAAAAATACAGTAGGAACTTAAAATAAATGTGTACATTTTATGGTAAACTCTGACAACCGCAGCTAACCTTTTGCTTTTACTCTCAAAATTTTACCGTAAAAAATAAAGCAGGAACATAAAATAAATGTCTACATTTTAAGGTATAATTTTGACAAACACAGCCGCCGTTAATTTTTTTGCATAAAAAATGTACTGTAAAAATATTGTAGAAATCTAAAATCAATTTCTACATTTTATGGTAAACTTCTGACAGCCACGGCTACTGTGTTTTACTCTCTGATTTTTACCATGAAAAATAAAGCACGAACATAAAATTAATTTCTACATTTTAAGTTAAAATTCCAACAACCACAGCTGCTTTTTACCAGTGAAATGTTACCATGAAAAATATAGTAGGAACTTATAATAAATGTCGACATGTTAAGGTATAATTTCGACAAACACAGCTGCCATTAATTTTTAGCATCAAAACTTTACTGTAAAAATACTGTAGAAATCTAAAATCAATTTCTACATTTTATGGTAAACTTCTGACAACCACAGCTACTGTTTTACTGTCCGTGAAAAAACAGTAGTAATGTAAAATAAATGTCCACATTTTACTGTAAAAATCCCTCAAGCACAGTTGCTGTATTTTTTATTGTCGGAATTATAACGTTAAAAAATACAGTAGGAATGTAAAATAAATGTCTACATTTTACAGTACATTTTCGACAACCACTGCTACTGTTTTTTTACCATCGATATTGCATTGTAAATACATACAATAAGAGTCTAAAATCAACGTATACACTTTAAGATATTCAGGGAAAGTTAATTATTATGCGGTATATGCCCAAGCATGCTAATAGGACTTTTAATTTGCCAGTAACCTGGGTTAAGCCCTTCCGGTGAACTGTATGTCAATGCAAAATCTGCGCATTTAAGGTCTGTTTTCTTTATAAATTAGTGATCTCCACTGGCTGAGTGATATCTGATGTAAAGTGGGTGTCAGATTGTACAAGAAGCACTGCATTACATTACATTTCCCCCGCCATGTCTTCATAATATGAGCATTTATTTTACCCCAGTATATTCAATGGAGCTTCTGCGCTAGCCTGCTGATTGTGACGGGCGTGTGCGAGTAAATGGCGTTTTGTCTCGTTTTACGCTTGAGCAGCTTAATGAATGCCAAAGTCTGTTTAATTGATTGTATTTCAATAACATTACAACATCGATGCTGTAAAAGGAACCGTATAAAATGGAAAAAACTCACAATAACAGCTCACCGGAGGTTTATCAGTATGGGAAGAACACTAGCTCAGCATATTCCCTATTCACTTATTATTCGCTCAATCACTGTATATATTCGGGTAGCGTACTGTTAGCCAGGTTATGCAATCTTACTGTAGAATTTTTACATTGTAGAGAAATCTTGGCCTGAACTTCTGCTCTACTTTGCGCTTCTGTGCTTTGTAATCACCGAATGATCTCAGCCATGAAATTCAGCCTTTATAAAAGCAGCTCTGGGACTCGGCACTGATTGATCGGCTGCTGAAGTGTGAGCGTAGTTTTGATTTGCAGCGTGAGATCTGCTCTTCTGAGAGGACACACGAGTTACTGCGGGTCAGACTGGCTTCTCTAGCCGGCGGGCCAGATTTAAAGAGCTTTACGCTCTCATTGTTAGAGGCTAAGCTTGTTAGTTGGTAGCCATTTGACTCTGATTTCCCTTAGCCCACATTCCCTCATCCAAACCCCACAGGAAATGATGCGGATTTGTTTCCAGCGACTTCCGGATTGAGGGTGATGACACAGTTGGGTTGCGTTGGCAGGCTGCTACATTGAGTAACTTACTTACTTAACATGAGCTTTTCAATGCAGTGTACTCCTAAAAATAGAGCCCTAAAGAGGGTTTTTACAGCGCTGTTATAGAAGGATTGTTTTGAGTTCCCCAAAGATGCTTTCAGTCCACAGATCTTTAAAGAACCATTGACTGCACAGATGATTCTCATTCATTCATTTCCCTTCAGCTTAGTCCCTTTATTCATCAGGCGTCACAACAGCAGAATGAACCGCCAACTATTCTAGCATGTTTTACACCGCTGCAACCCAGTACTGGGATACACACTCAATCACACACACACACTCATACACTACAGCCAATTTCGTTGATCAGTTCCCCTATAGCGCAAGTGTTTGGACCTTGAGGGAAACCGGAGTACCTGGAGAAAACCCACACCAACAAGGGGAGAACATGCAAACTCCACACAGAAACGTATTTCCTATAATATACAAATCTCAAATTGCTTTTGACCTCAATCTGGAAACAAACCACCCAGATGGCTGTCGATATCTGCACAGGTGGTAGATGCGGGATTTGAATGGCGGCGGTAGCAACATTATTTAATAATAATAATAATAATAATAATAATAATAATAATAATAATAATAATAATAATAATTAAACTCCCAGAAATTCTAAAATAAATGTTGGCAGGTATGGATTAGGGCAGGGGTTCCCAAACTTTTCAGCCTGCAACCACAAAATAACAACCCCAGTGACTTGTGACCGCCATTGTTTTCGGACATGCTTGTAAACATACATTTGTTGTGCACAAAAGCTCACACACTAATATAACTAGAGCCAGACAGAATCTGCAGATTTTTTTTGTTGCTATTTTTGCACAGAATTTTGTCATTTAAAAAATCTGCTGATTTATGCAGAATTATTTTGGGAGAATCAAAACTAAAAATTATTATATGAAATAAAAAGTAATAGATTTTTAACTTTTATTTAATGTTTAAAGTGCAAGTCCAATAGATCCGCTTAATTGGTGAACAAAGCAAGTATTTTATCATTTATATTTACTAAAAGAAAGTATTACTATATAAACTGTATTTAAATAAATCCAATGAATATTTTCATATTAATTAGTAATATTACTGAAATCAATTTAAAAAGTGAATAAATATAAATTTACACACATTTACACTAAATAAACAAACTTAATGATTGGCTAAAAGTCTGTGGAAATATGCAGAGTACTGCGCGCGCAGGTTCCGTGTGCACCTACCAATTGGCCACGAGCATACTGACAACCAGCATTGAGCTAGTTACTGAAAAATAGTAACTAGTTATAGCTACTAGTTACTACATTCAAAAAGTAACGGAAATACTTTATCGATTACTTTAGGTAACTCAAGTACTTTATTGATTACTTTAGGTAACTCAGTTACTTTATCGATTACTTTAGTAACTCAATTACTTTATTGATTACTTTAGGTAACTCAGTTACTTTATCGATTACTTTAGTTAACTCAGTTACTTTATCGATTACTTTAAGTGACTCAGTTTATCGATTACTTTAGTAACTCAAATACTTCATCGATTACTTTAGTTAACTTAGTTACTTTATCGATTACTTTAGGTAACTCAGTTTATCGATTACTTTAGTAACAAATACTTCATCGATTACTTTAGTTAACTTAGTTAATTTATCGATTACTTTAGGTAACTCAGTTTATCGATTACTTTAGTAACTCAATTACTTTATCGATTACTTTAAGTAACTTAATTACTTCATTGATTTAAGTAACTCAGTTATTTCATCGATTACTTTAAGTAACTCAGTTACTTTTTTGATTACTTTAGTAACTCAGTTACTTTATCGATTACTTTAGGTAACTCAGTTACTTTATCGATTACTTTAGTAACTCAGTTACTTCATCGATTACTTTAGTTAACTCAGTTACTTTATCCATTACTTTAGTTAACTCAGTTACTTTATCCATTACTTTAGTTAACTCAGTTACTTTATCGATTACTTTAGGTAACTCAGTTACTTCATTGATTACTTTAGTGACTCAGTTACTTCATCGATTACTTTAATTAACTCAGTTACTTTATCGATTACTTTAGGTAACTCAGTTACTTTATCGATTACTTTAGGTAACTCAGTTACTTCATCGATTACTTTAGTTAACTCAGTTACTTTATCCATTACTTTAGTTAACTCAGTTACTTTATCCATTACTTTAGTTAGCTCAGGTTTGCTTTTTGCCACCTATTGGCATAACAATGTATTTGCTACAGGCTTTTTTAATTGCTGATTTTACTTTTACTGTAACAGGTGTTGGACTCGGATCCGGTGGATCAGACACAGGAGGTGGAAGATCTGGATCTTCTGTACGACAGTCTGGAGGTTTATAACCAGAGCGACAGCGGCCCAGAGATGGAGGACAACGAAAGTCTCCTCAGCACCCCAAAACCCAAACTCAAGTACGTTCAGTCATGCTACACGCTAAAAAAAGCGACAACTCCCATACTTTTATTTCAGACACAGACCTCTTATATATACACTCACCGGCCACTTTATTAGGTACACCTTACTAGTACCAGTCTGAGATGATTGGCGCTCTGTGATGCCAATCTCCCGTTCCACCACATCCCAAAGCTGCTCTATTGGATTGAGCTCTGGTGACTGTGGAGGCCATTTGAGTACAGTGAACTCATCGTCATGTTCATCAGTCTGAGATGATTGAGCTTTATGACATGCTGCGTTATCCTGCTGGAAGTAGCCATCAGAAGATGGAGACACTGTGCTCATAAAGGGATGGACATGGTCAGCAGCAATACTCAAGTTGGTACTGCTGGCTGTGGTGCTAATGGACCCAAAGTGTGCCAAGAAAATCTCCCCCACACCATTACAGCACCGCACTTTTTGCTGATTTAGGCTGGTGGATAACAAGTTTAGACTGTGTTCCTGAAGTTATTCCCAGTGCATTGTTGGTTTTACTAGTCGTTCCTGCTTCTGGATTCTCTTATTAAAGTCACTGAAACATTTTTATTTTGACAAGGCCTACATTTTTGGTCGCGACAAATGACTGTTCTGCAGGAGAATGTGTTTGAGTAGGGGCTGCAGAGTGTAATGCATCAACTCAGGAGATACATGAGTGAACATGGCCAGCACTTTCATTGACGTTCAGTGGAAATCAAGGACTTCCAGTTGCTTTGTCTCTGCAGATGTGCTGCCAGTGTAGACAGCACTTAAAGAACACGACTGGTGCTGTGCTTCTGACCAGCGTCTGGCTTTCAGCCTGTTTTTATATTGTACGTTTGTGTGTGTGTGTGTGTGTGTGTGTTTTCTTCTCAAGGCCGTTCTTTGAGGGAATGTCTCATTCCAGCTCACAGACGGAGATCGGCAGTCTGCACAGTCAGAAGAGCCAGCCGAGAGACACGCCGGCTGCTGTATGTACAACACACACACACACACACACACACAATAATGGCAGGATTGTCATTTTTGTGTGAACTGACCCTTTGTAGCATGATATAGTGTTTGTAAGTACATCAGATCGAGTGTTTGTAAGGGTTGCAAAACTAAAATTGCTGATCTTTGTTTGTGTGTGTGTGTGTGTGTGTGTGTGTGTGTGTGTGTGTGTGTGTATGCCTGCAGTGTGGTGATCTGTTAACAGTGGATAAGAACAGAGCAGTATCGAGCCGATATCCAGACGACTCTACAGTAGTGGACTCCACAGCAGCGGTCAGTCTCACACACACACACATACACACACACATGCATCAGAACGCAAACACACACATTAGCACACACACATTTACACATGCATCAGCACACACACATACACACACATGTATCAGCACAAACACACATACACACACACACGCACATATCAGCACACACACATAAGCAGACACATACTAACACAAACATACAAGTTAGCACACACAGACACACACACACACACACACACACATGTATCAGAACACGCAAACACACACACACACATGCATCAGCACACACACATACACACACAACACATCAGCACACACATACACGCATCAGTACACATGTGAAAAAGTGTGTGTGTGTGTCTGTCTGAGAGAGAGTGTGTGTAAGAGACAGAGAGAGTGTGTGTTTATGTGCTAATGTCTGTGAGAGAGAAAAGGAGTGTGTGCTAATGTGTGTGTGCTGATGCATGTGTGTGCAGGAGCTGCCGGAGGACGAGGCGGGCAGTGGTGTGGCAGTGTGTGACAGCAACATGAGCTGGGACACAAACACAGAGAAGACAGTAGGAGCGCTCGGAAAACTCTGCAAAGCTGAGTCTCAGACACACATGTCACCCAGGTAAAACACACACACACATATACACTCACTCAGACACACACGTCACCCAGTTAAAACACACACACACACACACCTGTCTGATTGACTTGATTTCACAGCTTCTCTGTATCGTCTGTGTTCTGTCTAACATGACTCTGGTTCCCCTTCATGGCGCATCAGACAGACACATCAGGTGTGTGACAGGTTAAGCTGCTGTGGCATTTTCCATACCCTCTCCCAGTGTCTTCCAGACACACATCAGAGTTCCCATGAAGGGAAATGTCTCGGTTACTAATGGAACCCTCGTTCCTCGAATAGGGAACGGAGACGTGTGTCTCTGATGCCACAGCAGCTGAGTCTCCAGTTGTTAGCTAAGTGTTCGGCTCTTCAGCAGGCAAAAATCTAAAGGCTCGCTCTGCATGCACCAGCTGTATACTGGACTAATGATTAATCACTGGCACCTGCAGAGCCCAGCTCTGCCCACTCATTGGCATTCATTGGCCAGTTTTCTAACTCTTCAGTGTGATTGGTCGACTAACGTTCTCCCAAAGTGTCTACCAGACACACGTCGGAGGTCCCAATTCAAGGAACGAGGGTTACGTTAGTAACCAAGACGTTTTTTATAGTGCTGTATTTTGACCCAGTATTTGACACCATCACTGGGTTGCAGCGAGTCAGCGTTTATTACAGTGAGCGATGTGTGAAGCGTTTTAAGAGAGTTTATGTTGTGAAAGCCCACAGGACAGAAAGTGCTGAGCTGAAGAAGCCCCATCTGTTTATATGTGTGTGTGTGTGTGTGTGTGTGTGTGTGTGTGTGTGTGTGTTGGCTAATGAGCTCATTAAGACTCGTCAGGCTGGAACGCATCAATGATTCGCCTCTTTTAGCTTGTTTCTGCAGCGCCTCGGGACACAAAAAAGACGCCACACACATTATGATGCACAGTCTGCTCGATTTATGCGCTTCAGACCGAAGAAACAATGGAAACAAGTCGAGCTTTATTATCAAGTGTGGACACAGTGGAACCAAATGTCATGTTTCGGAGGACTACAGTGCTTAACGCTAAATAAACATCATCATGAATATACACACTATAGGTAACTAGCATACTGTTGTGCTAATCTAGCTATACTAACGATATACACTCACTGGCCACTTTATTAGGTACACTTTACTAGTCCTGAGTTGGACCACCTTTTGGCTTCAGAAGTGCCTAAATCCTTTGTGGCGTAGATTCAACAAGCTACTGGAAATATTCCTCAGAGATTTCGGCTGCACATCCATGATGCCAATCTCCCGTTCCACCTTATCCCAAAGCTGCTCTATTGGATTGAGCTCTGGTGACTGTGGAGGCCATTTGAGTACAGTGAACTCATCGTCATGTTCAGCAGTCTGAGATGATTGAGCTTTATGACATGCTGCGTTATCCTGCTGGAAGTAGCCATCAGAAGATGGAGACACTGTGCTCATAAAGGGATGGACATGGTCAGCAGCAATACTCAGGTAGGCTGTGGCGTTGATGCTCAATTGGTACTAATGGACCCAAAGAAAATCTCCCCCACACCATTACACCACCACCACCAGCCTGAACCGCTGATACAAGGCAGGATGATCCATGCTTCCATGCTGTTGAGGCCAAATTCTGACCCAAGTATGCGACAGCAGAAATGGAGACTCAAGGTTGGCCGTGTTGTGTGTTCAGAGATGCTCTTCTGCAGAGCTCGGTTGTAACGAGTGCTTATTTGAGTTACTGTTGCCTTTCTATCAGCTGGAACCAGTCTGGCCATTCTCCTCTGACCTCTGGCCTCATCAACAAGGCATTTGCGCACACAGAACTGCCACTCACTGGATATTTCCTCTTTGTTGGAGCATTCTCTGTAAACCCTAGAGATGGTTGTGCGTGAAAATCCCAGTAGATCAGCAGTTTCTGAAATACTCAGAGCAGCCCGTCTGGCAACAACAACCATGCCACGTTCAAAGTCACTTAAATCCCCTTTCTTCCCCATTCTGATGCTCGCTCTGAACTGCAGCAGATCGTCTTGACCATGTCTACATGCTGAAATGCATTGAGTTGAGTCCTTATAAGATGGAGTTTAACTAAAGCGCCTGGTGCATATGAAGAGAAGAGTGTTTCTACAGTTGGTTTGTCAAGCCCACTTACCTGTGTGAGGCACACTCTGAAGAGCACAGTGCTTTTATAGAGATATGGAGGGATTGTAGGAAAGTGCCTGGTGGCAAATGTGCAGAACTGCATATTATTACAAACCTTTACCGTTAAAATACAAATCATCTATCATCATCTCAAATATATGTTCCATAAGAAGACAGGGTCTATTTTGACCATATTTGGAAGGGTTGTGAATATTAATGAGCTCTGATCAGACACACATACACACACAAAGATAGTTTAACAAATAGAGCAGATGAAGGCCGGCACAGGGGTTAGCTCTGGCCTCACAGCAAGAAGGTCACTGGTTCGAGTCCCAGCTGGGTCAGTTGGCATTTCTGTGTGGAGTTTGCATGTTCTCCCCGTGTTAACGTGGGTTTCCTTCAGGTGCTCCGGTTTCCCCAATAGTCCAAACATGCGCTATAGGGGAATTGACTAAATTGGCTGTAGTGTATGGGTGTGTGAATGTTAGAGTGTATGGGGGTTTCCCAGTACAGGGTTGTGGCTAGAAGGGCATCCGCTGTGTAAAACAAATGCTGGATAAGTTTGCGGTTCATTCCCTTGTGGTGACCTCTGATGAATAAGCTGATTGCTGATGAAATACAGGGAAAAATGAATAGATGTGAGCTGCAGGATGTGTTGTGCATTGCTAATCAGTGTTTGTCCTTGCTGTGTGTGCAGTAAAGCGGACAGTAAACTGCAGAGGCGTCCTCGCAGCACATCCATGAAGGACCGGCAGAACTCCAAAGCTCAGAGCGACCGCACCAGCAGCATCGAGAGCGAGACCTCGCCAGACTCACGGCTCATCACGCAGGTTTGTGTAAGTGTGTGATCCCGGGAGAAGCAGATGCTGAGAGAAGCACACACACACACACGTTTCCCAATCTGACGCCGTCTCTGTCTGTCACAGGTGCCTAGGAAATCAGTGTACGATCAGCTCAACCAGATCCTGAACTCGGACGAACATCTGCCCGAAAACATCATCCTGATTAACACTACAGACTGGCAGGGGCAGGTGATTGGATATTCAGACGTTTATTTTTGTTAATAAATATACTTAATAACTAAAGATGTAAAATAAGTCTCTGATGTCCCTAGAGAGAGAGAGTGTGTGTGTGTGTGTGTGTGTGTGTGTGTGTGTGTGTGTGTGTGTGTGTGTGTGTGTGTGTGTGTGTGTGTGTGTGTGTGTGTGTGTTTCAGCTCATAATACCCTACAGATAGTGTTTATAATACTGTTTATAACTCTCTGCAGCTCTTAAGCCCTGGTCAGATCACACGATTTTGTCTTAAATAGTGTTTTTAGCAGAGTGGGACACATATATGACTGTCAACAGCTCAAAACATGTGTTTTGGTGTTTCGTAACCCTTTTAACTACTTTAAAAATATTCAAGTGTTTTAAGCAGTTTTATCTGACAGACTGGCACAAATGTGCAGACATCTCCATTCTCACATTGAGTTTCTGAGTTCTCTCATCCTTCCAACTGAGTTTGTTCTGCTGAGGTAATCTGGACACACTTTAAGTGCTGCAAATACATTGTTAAAGCCTGTGTTGCTTATTCAAATTACTTGATTAAACTAATTCAATTTAAACTGACCGGAGCAATGGATGATTTTGTCATTAATAGTGAAAACAGTTTAATATAGTTTTCACTTTTCTAGATAAACCAGTTCGTGCTTTGGCGCTGAAGCATAAAGTAGACTGGTTTTGAAGCTTGTCACCTCAAATGTTATTCTTTATTCTTGTTTATTTAGTTGATAACTGACCAACAAAAAATACATTGACATTAAGATACAAATTATACCAAAAGAAATTCATTAAAAAAATACAAATTACAAGAAAAAAGAAAAACAGGGAAAATATACAAAAAAAAAAATTTCTACTAAAAATATATAAAATATTTTTTTTCAAGAGAAATATACAAAAAAAATTTCAAGAAAAATATACAAAAAAATTTATACGAAAAATATACAAAATATTTTTTCCAAGAAAAATATATATAAAAAACAATTCCATGACAAATATACAAAAAAAGTTTTTTACAAGAAAAATATACAAAAAAGTTTTTACAAGAAAAATATACAAAAAAAAATTCAAGAAAGATCTAAAAAAAAACATGTTTTACAAGGAAAATATACAAAAAAAAAATTTGTTCGTCCTTCACTCGTCTACTTGTTTAATTTTAGTGGGAAATAGGAATTTAATTTTCCCAGAGATGGGTTGCGGCTGGAAGGGCATCCTCTGCGTAAAAACTTGCTGGATAAGTTGGCGGTTCATTCCGCTGGGGCGACCCCGGATTAATAAAGGGACTAAGCCGACAAGAAAATGAATGAATGAATAAGAATTTAATCAATGCTCTGCTGTAATTGTTGTATCACAAACCTCTGTTATAGATTTACAAATTTTTAAATATTTGTCATTATTTTGTCTTGAGCATCTGATCTTTCCTCTGATGTGCTTTCATTTTCTCTGTCTCACTCGCTGCAAGTTCATGCGAGGGGGTGTTTATTAAGCAACCCTGGCTGGAAAATATACATTTCCATCTAAAAGAAAATATACTAATATTAAAAACTAAATATATTATTCTTCTGTTGGCTAAAAAAATGTGAACGTGTGGGCTATTTTATGCAAAATAAATGTTATGAAATTTTATTTTCAATTTGGAAGAAATGCCGTCCATCAGAACTTTACTGAATAAAACTATTACTCAAAACTATTAATGGTACTGTAAAATAAAAGAAAGTCTGGAGAAAGTCTTATTTGTTTTATTTCGTCTAGAGTAAAAGCAGTTTTTAATTGTTTTAAACTAATTTTAAGGTCAATATTATTGCATTACCCCCCTTAAGAAATATTTGTTTTGGATTGTTTACAGAACAAACCACTGTTATACAATGACTTGCCTAATTACCCTAGTGAAGCCTTTACATGTCACTTTAAGCTGTATAGAAGTGTCTTGAAGAATATCTAGTCTAATATTATTTACTGTCATCATGACAAAGAGGAAATAAATCAGTTATTAGAGATGAGTTATTAACACTGTTATGATTAGAAATGTGTTTACTTGTGCGAGAGTTCACCATTTTAAACAGCACATTGTTCTAATAGGGGCCGTTATGAAGCTGACGCATTACCCTGAGTGCTCTTCTCACTGGTTCTGCTTGTTTTGATGTGGAGGCTCTGGTTTCCTGCAGCGGTTCTTCTTTTATTCACACTCTCCGTGTCTCCTCTGTTGGTGTTTCAGTATCTGAATGAGCTTCTGCAGGAGCACAAGCAGCCCATCGTGTCCACAGTTTCCCCCGCAGACGTCCAGGCCGCCTTCAACACCATCGTCACCAGGATCCAGAGATTGTAAGAACCATTGAACACATAAACTACACAGTAACAATGCTACAGCTCACTGTTAGCTGTAATGGGCTATACGGTACATACCTTCCCTTATAAAAAGTGTGTGTGTGTGTGTGTGTGTCAGCTGTAACTGTAACGCTCAGACTCCTCCCACCATGAAAGTGTCCGTGGCTGGAGATCAGAGTTACCTGAGTTCAGTCCTGCGCTGCTTCGTGGAGCAACTCGCCAACAAAACCCCCGACTGGCTCAACTACATCCGCTTCCTGCTCATCCCTGTCGGTAAATATCAGCCCGAGCAACACTATAAGTCAAAGCTGTAGATATACACATACACTGCACCAGTCAATGAACTGTACATCGTAACGCATCTTGATTGATTGATCTTCAATTGTTTGTTAGTTTGTTTCTTTATTTTTTTCCATTTTTGTATTAAAATTATTGATTGATTGATTTTTGTTTTTCTTTGTTTTTTGATTGATTGATTGATTGATTTTTTTTGTTAATTGATTGTTTTTTGTTTCTTTGATTGATTGTTCATTTGTTTGATTGATTGATTGATTGAGTGTTTGTTTGTTTGATTTATTGTTTGTTTATTTGTTTGATCCATTGTTTGTTTGTTTTGTTTACTGATTGTTTTGTTTTTGTTTGTTTGATTAAATTTTTTTCTTTAATTGTTTGTTTTTTGTTTCTTTGATTGATTGATTGATTGATTGATTGTTTGTTTGTGTGTTTGTTTGTTTGATTGATTGTTTAATTAATTTATTGTTTGTTTATTTGTTTGATACATTGTTTGTTTTGTTAAATTATGTTTGTTTGTTTGATTAATTGTTCATTTGTTTGATAGATTTTTTGTTTTTATTGATTGATTGATTGAGGATTAAATTGTCTGTTTATTTGTTCATTCCATTGTTTGTTTGTTGTGTTACCTGTATTTTTTTTTTGATTAATTGATTGATTTTTTATTTATTTTATTTGATTGATTGACTGATTGATTGATTGATTGATTCGTTTTATTTGATTTCATTGATTGATTGATTAATACATTTTTGTTTGTTTGTTTGTTTGTTTGTTTGTTTGTTTGTTTGTTTGTTTGTTTGTTTGTTTGTTTGTTTGGTTGGTTGTTTGGTTGGTTGGTTGTTTGGTTGGTTGGTTTGTTGTTTGGTTGGTTGGTTTGTTGTTTTATTGACTGGTTATTTTGCTTTAGTTTGTTTGTTTTTTGATGTTTGATGTTTGATTTAGTTTGTAGTTTGATTGATTGATCGATTATTTGATTGGTTGGTTAATTTTTCTGTTTGTTGTTGTTTTCGTTTGTTTTATTTTTGTATGTTTGGTTGGTTAGTTGTTTTTTGTTTGATTAATTGAGTGTTTATTTGATTGAGCGGTCATTTGGTTGATTGATTGATTTGATTTTTGGTTTGTTGGTTGTTTTATTGATTGATCGTTTTGTGTTTGTTTGTTTGATTTAATTTTTTGTTTAATTGATTGTTTTATTATTTTATGAGTTTGATTAATTGTTTGATTGTTTGATTGATTGATTTTATCTTTTTGGTTGTTTGGTTGTTGGTTTGTTGTTTTATTGACTGGTTGTTTTGCTTTTGTTTGGTCGTTTTGGTTTTTTGTTTTGTTTGATTGATTGATGGATTATTTGATTGATTGATTGATTGATTAATTGAGTTATTTTTTATTGATTGAGTTATTAAGTGGTTAATTGATTGATTTATTGATTTATTGATTTATTGTTATTTTTATTGATTGAGTTATTAAGTGGTTAATTGATTGATTGATTGGTTGATTGATTGATTGAGTTATTTTTTATTGATTGAGTTATTAAGTGATTGATTGATTGATTGATTGATTGATTGATTGATTGATTGATTGATTGATTGATTGATTGATTGATTGATTGATTGATTGATTGATTGATTGATTGATTGATTGATTGATTGATCAAAAAGTGTTAGGGTTTCTCTAGTACTTCATCATCAGGAGTGAACTTCTCTGTGTTTTGCGTCAGGTTGTCATCCTCTGGCCAAATACATCTCTACGTTTGACAGCAAGTTCAACAACATCTTCATGGACACAGGATGGAGGGATGTTTTCAGCAGGCTAGAAGCTCCCTCTTCAGGTCAGACGGACTGCTATATATATACATATATAAATTTACCAAAAAATATCAGTCCCTATGCATCCCTGCATCGTCACATCAACTCATATATTGCTTCTTCTTATTTTTATTATTATTTTTATTGTAGATAATATTGATGTGGCCGGACGCGTCTCTCAGTATCTGGCTGGAGCCAATCTGTCGCACCAGTTCCCCATCTCTGAAGCAATGCTCACCTATAAACAGAAAAGGTTTGTTTTGTTGTGTGTGTGTATATGTGTATGTTTGTTTGTGCATGAGAAGTTTTAATTAACAATGTGAATGTTGTTGGCATGTGTCATTTATACTTTAATGTACCGTAAATATATACTTGTTCACCATCTGCCCTAAATACAGTTTGTCCTAACTAGAAAACAACATTCAGAGGAGGTAAAAATAAGATAAGAGCATGTCCAGGTCACATTTCACCCCAGATTTCATAAGAAAAACTGACGGAGAAACCATGCTTTGACAAATTAAGTAAGTATTTGTTAATTCTGTAGTCTTATAAGTCATTATTATAATATAAATTGGCTAAAACTCGCCAAAATGTGGTTGGTTTTTATAAAATTATTGCACACTGAATCCGAAAGCATTCATTCACTCATTTTCTTTTCGGCTTAGTCCCTTTATTAATCCGGGGTCACCACAGTGGACAAACTGCCAACTTATCCAGCACATGTTTTACGCAGCGGATGCCCTTCCAGCTGCAACCCACCTCTGGGAAACACCCATACACACTCATTTACATTCATACACTACAGACAATTTTAGCTTACCCAATTCACCTGTACCGCATGTGTTTGGACTGTTGGGGAAACCGGAGCACCCTGAGGAAACCTACGCGAATGTGCAAACATGCAAACTCCACACAGAAACGCCAACTGACCCAGCCGAGACTCGAACCGGCAACGTTCTTGCTGTGAAGCGACAGCACTACCTACTGTATTAAATTTACTAAATTGGCTGTAGTGTATGAGTGTGTGTGAATGAGTGTGTATGGGTGTTTCCCAGTTCTGCCTCGCGACTAGAAAGTCATCTGCTGGAATAGTTGGCAGTTCATTCCGCTGTGGCGACCCCTAATCAATAAAGGACTAAGCCGAAGGAAAATGAATGACTACTAGATTGTGTGGAGCTGTGCGTAAACTCTTAAGTACGTGTGTAGATTAACGTGAGAACAGCAGATCTGAAAAAACGTACACAGCAGACTCCGGTGGAAAACAAACCTGCAAGAAATGTAGCTCCTGGGACGCACATTTCTCCAAAAATGTATATATGGGTATGTGTCCATTTTGTGTTTAGTGGAAGACTCTCATGAAGGTTTCCCCAAGTAAAAGGAGGTTACATGAATCAGCTTTAGGTCAACTATCCCTTTAAGAAAGATAAATAAGCTGCTTAATCTCGGAGACTTGTTGAAGTAATGAGATTTGAATGTAAAATAGACATTGTTCGTTTATTTTTGGGGGGGGTGAAATGTGACACAGACATATTTAGTGAGATTCACTTACAGATTATTACGTTATCATAACCATTATCATCCATAAAGAAGATCAAACAACAGCAGTGCTTACGCTATTCCACAGATATATACATTAGATGTCGCCTACGTTGAAGGAATGCGTCAATAGAGCCGCCATTTTAGTACAGGGTACCGCTCCTTTGAAATTAATGCAGGACCAAGCTGCAGTGGAGGACTGTGGCCATCCAGAGCCGGAGATAGACACATATACACATATATCTATGATCAGGAGTTTTCCCAGTGGTCAATATGCTATTTTTTTATTTTTATTTACGAAACTTATAATTTTACATCACTTTTCTACGTGGATGGATCAGTGATTGCACAGGCATTCCTGACAAAGAGCTTGTGTTTGTGTGTAAGGAAGTGTATTATCCACCCTCCCTGTTAAATTTGATCTAATCATGTCCTGAAACACAGCTCCTCTCCTGCTTTCACTTCTCATACTGACGGAGGGAGCGATTCGTTTGGGAATGAATCTCCGTTATGAACGACTCGTTCACTAGCCGACAATAATACAAGTTTCTGGCAGCGCAGCATCTCGTTGTCATATTTCTTTTTCATTGTTTGCTGATTTTGTTCAACAAAACTAGCATGAGCCGAGTGTTTACTGCGAGCTATGGTGAATGCAGTAAGTGACTTATCATCATTGTATTATCATCAATAACGTGACCTGTTTAGCACAAAAGTTCGTAACATACAAAAACGTAAACAACTAAACCTTACCTATGAAATGTGTGCTTTGTTTTCTTTGTTTGCTTGTTACTACACCCGTACACAGCGCTAAAGTCCAGCATCTTCACGTAATAACACTGTCTTGGCTAGTGCGGTTGAATGACACTTGTCCTGGGAGCACTGTACCAATATGGCGGCGCTATTGACGCATGCTCAGGGTCCCTAGTGTATACATCTATGATACATAATTTTAAAGTGTATCTCCTCCTACGCCTTTCAAGCTCCATCCTTCAAACTTTCGTCAACCCTTCAGACTGCTCTGACTCGGGTTGCTATGTCTTTTCTAACTGATCCGACTTTTTGTTTTCTAAAAAAACGACCCAGAATGTTCTGAAAAGTCCCATTGACTTAACATTGGGTCAAACTTTGTGAGCTCATAACTCTGCGTCAGAATGTCCCACAGACTACTGTCTGAGCTCATTTAACTCAGCAGCCAATCACTGATGACCTTTAAACTTACTAGCCACACCCTAGCAACCACTAGCAACACACTAGCAACTGTCCCATAGACTGTGACTAGCTATTCTAACACATGCTAATTGATTTAACATCCTAATCTTGCTAGAAACATGCTAGAGACATGCTAGTCATGCCATCACATGCTAATTCATGCTTAAACTTGCTATAATCATGCTAACAACATGCTAATTCATGCTATAATCAGGCTAGTTACGTGTTAAAATCATGCTAACAACATGCTAATTCATGCTACAATTGTGCTAATTCATGTTGGAATCATACTAACAACATACTACTTCATGCTAGAATCAGGCTAGTAACATGTCAATTCATGCTATAATCATGCTAATATCATGCTAGAATTAACAACATGCTAATTCATGTTGGAATCATGCTTTCAGCATGCTACTTCATGCTAGAATCAGGCTAATTACATGTCAATTCATGCTTTAATCGGGCTAGTAACAGGCTAATTCATGCTATAATCAGGCTAGTAACATGCTAATTCATGCTATAATCAGGCTAGTAACATGCTAATTCATGCTAGAATCAGGCTAGTTACATGTCAATTCATGCTAGAATCATGCTTACAGCATGCTAATTCATGCTAGAATCATGCTAACAACATGCTAATTTGTTTTAGAAACATGCTAATTCATGTTAGAACCATGTTAGCAACATGCTAGTTCATGCTAGCAACGTGCTATTTTTTGCTAGAAATATGGTAACAACATGCTAAATCATGCTAGATACATGATAATTCATAATGGAATTGTGATAATAGCATGCTAATTGATGCTAGAATCATGCTAATATCCTCCTAATTCATGCTAGAAACATGCTAGTAACATGCTAATCCATGTTAGAATCAGGGTAGTTCCATGTCAATTCATGCTAGAATCATGCTAACAACATGCTAATTTGTGTTAGAAACATGCTAATTTATGTTAGTACCATTCTAGCAACATGCTAATTCATGCTAGAAACATGCTAGCAACGTGATATTTTTTGCTATAAATATGGGAACAACATGCTAAATCATGCTAGATGCATGGTAATTCATGATGGAATTGTGATAATAAAATGCTAATTTATGCTAGAATTGGGCTAGTTACATGCTAATTCATGCTAGAATCATGCTGCCAACATGCTAATTTGTGTTAGAAACATGCTAATTCATGTTAGAATCATACTAACTCATGGTAGTATCGTGCTATTAGCAACCTCAGACATGGGTCAGCTTTTTACTGGCCTGCTTCAGTCTTTAAAGTGGTCACATTGTTGACTGCAGAGATCTTAAACATTCTTCCAGCCAACTTGATGCTATTTTAAACTTAATAAACTACTTCTAACAGGCTTCGTCAAGCCACCATAAAGTGTGTCCTCAGACCTTATCATCTAGTTTTGTTTTGGGGTTGTGTCACTGCTTTGCTTGATCTGCCTTTGTTTTGTCTTTGAGAAGTGGACATGTGTGTGTTGAGGACGCCGCAGTAACTGTTATGCTTTGGGTTTTTCCCTCCTGTTTCTGTTTTTGTTTTTGCCTTCAAGGAAAAGAAGTTTGTATTTTGATTTTTACATCAGGTACCTAACCGTGTGTTTTTGGGTTACGTCAGTGTCTGCTGTGGTTTAAATCACTCATGCTCTCAGTGTGTTAACCCCGCACGCGCGCACACACACCTGTCCGCGTCTGCACTCGTTTCTGCTCACTGTGTGTTTGGTGTTTTCATGATGACGTCTTTTTGTGTCTTTAACTCACTTTAGTTTGCTTTGAGTTTAACAGGTTTGGAAATAAGAGAGTCTGACTAACTTTGGTTCAGCGGCTAAACGAGTTTGTGTTGAGATATTAATGTGACGTGTTGGGGGAATTACTTTAAAAAACATCATTAAAAATGTGCTTAATTACATTAATAATTACTGTGATGGAAATGTTATTTATTACTCAAAAAGAAATTTAGCTACATGACTTAATACTGTTTAAAATCCATAAAAAAGATAAGATGCTACTGGTCTAATCTGATCCAATGATGTATGCTAAGCTAAGCTAAAAGTGCTTCCGAAAACTCCGAGATTGGCTGAATGGATTTAAAAAAGCTCAAACGCATCATTTTAACTCTAGGAGAGGTGTAAAATGGTATTTACAAAAAAAGTGTTCCTTTAAACTTGATCGGAAATTTATCTTTAGCTTATTAGCTAATAGCTTTAGCATTTAACATAAACAGAACATTCTTTTCAGAGAAGTTAAAGACTATATATTTATCAAAATAATGAGACTATATTTCATACTTACCACATATTGAGTCATTTCTTAATTCATTCTTTTAGAAGTATCTTAAGATGCTAATGGTCTAATCTGATTCAATGATTTATGCTAAGCTAAGCTATAAGTGCTCCCGAAGACCGTGTAAATGGATTTAAAAAATCTAAATCTCATCCTTTAAACTCTAGGAGAGCTGTAAAATTAGCCTATTTTCTAAAAAGTGGAGTATTCCTTTAAATTTGAATGGAAATTTGTCCTTTAGCCTATTAGCTAATAGCTTTAGCATTTAATATAAACATAACATTCTTTTCAGAGAAGTTAAACACTATATCAAAATAAAGGAGACTACATTTCATAAATACCACATATTGAGTCATTTCTTAATTCATCATTTATTAAGTATCTTTAGATGCTAACGGTCTAATTCAATTTAATGATGTATGCTAAGCTAAGCTAAAAGTGCTCCCGAAAACCCATAGATCAGTTGAATGAACTAAAATAATCTAAAACTCATTATTTAACTCCAGGAGAGGTGTAAAACGAGCCTATTTACTAAAAGAAGGAGTGTTCCTTTACATTTGACAGAAAATTTGGCCTTTAGCTTATTAGCTATTAGCTTTAGCATTTACTATAAACATAGCATTCTTTTCAGAGAAGTAAACTATATATATCAAAATAAATGAGACTATATTTCATAAATACCACATACTGAGTCATTTCTTAATTTATTGTTTATAAGAAATCTTAAGATGCTAACGGTCTAATCCGATTCAATGATCTATGCTAAGCTAAGCTAAAAGTGCTCCGAAGACCCGGAGATTGACTGAATAGATTAAAAAAGCTCAAACACATCATTTTAACTCTTAAGAAAGGTGTAAAATGTTATTTTAAATGTTTCTTTAAATTTAAGGAGGAATTTCGACTTTAGTTTATTAGCTATTAGCTTTAGCATTTAATATAAACATAACATTCTTTCGTTAAACATACTTTCAGAGAAGTTTAACACTATAAATATCAAAATAAATGCATAATTTAAATTTTAAGAGATAACTAGTTTATTTACTTAATAGGTCATTTTACCCAACGCTGCTTTGAAGATTTATTCTGTTGATAATTAAATTCAGTTTCATGAACCTGCAAAATTTTTTTATTTTTTAATGAGTCACAGCTTTATCTCTGGCACACCGTGCTAATACTCTTATGAAAAACAGTGTTGAATGTATGAATAATTGAAGTACATCAAACACTGAGGGAAACACACACACACACACACACAGAGAGACTGGAAGATTAATCTGTGCCAGTCTGCAGCTAAAGGACGAGCACAGATACAAAAGGTCACGCAGCCAATTATCACTTTATATGAAGCAGAGTAAAATAGAGGAGGAGGAAAGGAGATATATAGAAGAGACCAGCGCTACAGGACCTGATAGAAGACCACAAAGAGAAAAAGAAATGATTGAACAGCAGAGGATGAGATTTGTGCTGTAGATGTTTCATCAGACCACTTTAAAATATCAGTCATCACACTGCCAATTTACAACCATACTACTTTTCTGGAACAAACCGTAAGGGGAAAAATCTAAAGGTGACCTATTATGCCCCTTTCTACTAGATGCAAAATAAATCTCTAGAGTGTGTGTGTGTGAAGTTTCAGCTTAAAATAGCACACAGATAGTGTTTATAACTCTCTGAAGCTGACCCTTTTAGGCTTTCATCTTAATTTTAGTGACTGTCGCTTTAAATGCAAATGAGATTGTGCTCTTTTCAGAAGAGGGGCGGCGCTATAGATGCCTGTTTGTCAGCATAGTAGCAGATTCAAAACAAGACTGACGTCCTATGCTAATGAGGGAGAGATGGTCACTAGTGGGCGGGGCTTTCCTCTTCTGATGACATCATACAAAGGGAGAATGTCAATCAAAGTGTTTCATTCATCAAGTCTGATTATAACACATACACTTAATACACTTTTACCATTAGAGGCTGCTTATACTCACACACAACTGGGTTTACACCCCTTATTAAAGTGATTTCTGCATAACAGGCAGTGTGTTGTATTGGAAATAACACACACACAGAATTAAATCTGTTTATTAGCTGTCTTTTGTACGGTAATTTAATTTAACAAATCACTTTAAACTATTAAAAATGTCAGTAAACGTCACTTTCAGGATCAAAAAGTTGCTGGAGGCAACATCAAGGTCCTATTGACCTTATTCTCCGCAGACGAGCGGGCGCTGCCATTTGAATCTTTTTGGCACGAGACTTCCGGTCTCAATCACTTCCATTCATTTTTAGACATTAAAAACTGTTTGTTTCGCTGTTTGATGTTGCAAACTGATATTTCCTTGTTATATTATGCTACTTGGTCTGTATAGTCAAACATTTGTTTGTAGAGCAAGTAGTTTGACCGTTTTCTGCCGTTTATTATTCCTTGTCATTTCTCCCATAGGCGACTGAAACGGAAGTTCTAAGACAATCGCGAAAACAGGCGCACTTCCGCATTTTAGAATAAGGTCAATAGTGCGATTCAAAATAAATGGCGAGCTCAAATGCATTTGCTATTTAAACAGCGTGGCGTTAAACGTCAAATAACTCTTGCGCCGAGCTGAAACTAGCAAACAACAATTGCGTCGCGTCTTTCTGAAAGCACATGAGAACCCAAACACAGCCACGGAAACTCTTATGTGCTTTCAGAAAGGAAAATAAAGCCGCTAGAATGGCCCAGCCAATACCCTGACCTCAACCCAATTGAAAGAAGGATACTTTCACACCTGTTGTATGTTTCTTTTGCTCCAGCCCAAGATTATAAGTGACACATTGTAGCAAGACAACAACAAGACAGATTTCCTGCATTTTGATTGGTCAGAATTATATTCCCCACCCTCTGTTCATGTTTGGTTTGCGATTACGTCAAAGCATCTTTGAGAGGTTAAAGTCTAGATTTGAGCACAGTATCGACCTCATAGCCACAGCCTTACACCTCCAGACCTGCAGAGGCTGTAAGAAGCGTCCCATCATGGCATGAGTCTCCTCACCCTCACTCCTCCAGCTACGGGACAGCGCTGCTGTGTGTGTGTGTGTGTGTGTGTGTCGGTCACAGCATTCTCACCCCACACACATCTCACAGCCCATCACCTGCTCAGAAACATATACACACACACTAACACACGCTAACGCTGACCTCTGCTTCACTCCACAGCCCTGATGAAGACTCCTGCCAGAAGTTCGTCCCCTTCATTGGGGTGAGAAATTGTTTTTCTATGCAGATCTTCTCTGCATTTGAGGCACACTTTCAGAAATAATGAGTTAAAAGGAGGTCCGTTTTAATTAAAACAAGCTAAATAATCTGCCAATGGGGTTTGACACATGAGTTTAAGTCAAAACTAAAAACTAGATTAATTTTTCTGACCCCATTTGCAGATTATTTGGCTTAATTTAAAGGAAAACAGGCTTCATTTTGAATCATTATTACTGAAAACAAGACTATATTTTTTGCTCATCTAGAAATTGCTTCTTGATTTAAGAATTTTTAGATATTTAGGTAAGAAACTAGACAAAATATCAGCTAATTTTGTGTACACATGTCTCTGTCATCTCAGTTCGACCAAATGTCATGTCAAAAACAAAATGCTAGAAGTCACTAGCAGCCATTTCTGACATTTTGACAACAGAAGGTCGTGTTCAGAGCATTGCATTGCGGTATTGTGCACAACGTATGCATTCCACTGAACTACACACTGCAGAGACATTAGCAATGATGATGTTTCAATCTGAACTACCTTCGGTAATGCAGGATCTGGATGTGTTTTCTCTGCAGTTGGTGAAAGTGGGAATTGTGGAGCACAGCTTGTCCACTTCAGGTATGATCTACTTTGAGTCAAGAGTTTGTTACTGTATGAAACACATTACGACTATGGAGAGTCCTCATAAACCACCAATATCAACATTTGTGTGTGTATGTGTGTGTGTGTGTGTGTGTGTGTGTGTGTGTGTTTGTGTTTACAGGGACAGTTTTTGTTATAATGACATGGGTTATGAACTAGTTTTACTCGTATTAAGCTGGTTTATAGTGTCCTTATAACTCACAGTGCTTAATTATTGTACTTAATCGGGTCTTTAGACAATAATCTTTGCCACACTTTTCCTGCGAGGGTTGGGTTTAGGGATAGAGATGGGGTAGAGCCACATAACAAGTGTTTTTTACTGTATACTATACAATAGTCTATGGAGAGTCCTGATAAACCACTAATACCAACATGTGTGTATGTTTGTGTGCTGGTTTTTTGTGGTTTACAAGGACGATTTTATTTTTAATGATATGGGTATGAGGTAGTTGTACTTTATTAAGCTGGTTTATGATGTCCTTGTAGCGCAAAATGCTTAGTTATCATACTTAATGGGGTCTTTAGGCATTAAAATGTTTCTTGACTTTTTTTCTGTGAAGGTTGGGTTAAGGCGTTGAGCTATATAATAAGAGTTTTACAGTATAAAATACATTATGCTTATATTAAGTCCTCATAAACCACCAAAATCAATATTGTGTGTGTTTGTGTGCTGGTTTTGGTGGTTTACAGGGAGCATTTTATCTATAATGACATGGGTTATGAACTAGTTTTACTCGTATTAAGCTGGTTTATAATGTCCTTATAACTCACAATGCTTAATTATTGTACTTAATCGGGTCTTTAGACAATAATCTTTGCCACACTTTTCCTGCGAGGGTTGGGTTTAGGGATAGAGATGGGGTAGAGCCACATAGCAAGTGTGTTTTGCTGTATACTATACATTAGTCTATGGAGAGTCCTGATAAACCACTAATACCAACATGTGTGTATGTGTGCTGGTATTTGTTTTATTTTTATTTGATTTTATTTATAATGAACTTTTACAGTATAAAATACATTATGCCTATGGAAATTCCTCATAAACCACCAATATTATTATTGTGTGTGTTTGTGTGCTGATTTTCATGGTTTACAGGGACATTTTATGTATAATGACATGGTCATAAGATTTGTACTCTATTAATCTGGTTTATGACATCCTTGTAACTTAAAATGCTTAATAATCATACTCAATGAGTCTTTAGAAATTAAAATGTTACCACAGGATAACTGTAAGGGTTAGGTTTAGGCATAGAGCAATATAAAACGTTTTTTATTGTGTAAAATACATTACGCTTATGAAGAGTCCTCATAAACCACCAATGTCAACATTTGTGTGTGTGCACGCTAGTTTTGGTGGTTACAGGGACAATTTTTTGTATAATGACATGGGCATGAGGTGGTTGGGGTTATGGGTAGAGCTAAACTATAAGTGTTTTGTTACCGTATAAAATGCATTATGCCTATGGGGAGTCCTCATAAATCACCAATACCAACATATGTGTGTATGTTTGTGTGTGTGTGTTTACAGTGGACTCTGATGACGCAGTGATGGTGGGCAGTGTGAACATGCTCTCCTCACCTCCAGCTCAGACGGGAACACCGTACGGGAAAGACATGACCTCCACCCCTCCGTCATCACCCTCAGTTTCTGCCAGTCTGTCTGGAGCAGGGTACGAGAAACTACACCTCACAAACACACCCCAGTGTACTCTACAAACACACCCCAGTGTACTCCACACACACACCCCAGTATACTCCACACACACACCCCAGTATACTCCACACACACACCCCAGTCTACTCCACACACACACCCCAGTATACTCCACAAACACACCCCAGTATACTCCACACACACACCCCAGTGTACTCCACACACACACCCCAGTGTACTCCACAAACACACCCCAGTGTACTCCACACACACACCCCAGTGTACTCCACACACACACCCCAGTGTACTCCACACACACACCCCAGTGTACTCCACACACACACCCCAGTGTACTCCACACACACACCCCAGTGTACTCCACACACACACCCCAGTGTACTCCACAAACACACCCCAGTATACTCCACACACACACCCCAGTATACTCCACAAACACACTCCAGTGTACTCCACAAATAGAATATATTTGTATTTCTCAAGCATACGTCTGTGTGTGTGTGTGCAGTTCTCCAGGCACTGGTGGTGAGGTGATGGGTCTTCAGGTGGACTACTGGACGTTGCAGGGCACAGAGAAGAAGAAAGAAGGTGAAAAACGAGACGTGGGGATTAAAAACACCCTGAAGAGTAACTTCCGCTCGCTGCAGGTTTCTCGAATCCCCAACGGAGGAGAGCCGACGCCTCCGCCCGGCATGGCCATGACCGTCGTCATGAAAGAAAAGAACAAGAAAGGTGTGATGTAGAGCAGCATGAATATCCTCGATCCTCCTGGATCTACTATCTATCTCAATTCTTAATGATTGTGATTTACATATTTTTACATAATATTAATATTTATACTTAAATTTTGTGGATCACAAAATTGTGTTTGTTATAAACCATGTATCTGTGCACTTCATGTTTCGCCCTCAAAAGCTTTCATCGAAATGACTTTTCTTCACTTCTGGTCACATGGAATGCCCTTAGGGCGGGGCTATCAGTCCTTTAGGGCGTGGCTATCAGACATTTAGGGTTGGGCTATCAGTAATTAAGGGTTGGGCTATCAGTGATTTAGGGTAGGGCTATCAGTGATTTAGGGTGCGGCCATCAGCCCTTTTATGGTGGGGCTATTAGTATTTTAGGGTGGGGCTATCAGTCCTTTAGGGCGTGGCTATCAGACATTTAGGGTTGGGCTATCAGTAATTAAGGGTGGGGCTATCAGTGATTTAGGGTAGGGCTATCAGTGATTTAGGGTGCGGCCATCAGCCCTTTTATGGTGGGGCTATTAGTATTTTAGGGTGGGGCTATCAGTCCTTTAGGGCGTGGCTATCAGACATTTAGGGTTGGGCTATCAGTAATTAAGGGTGGGGCTATCAGTGATTTAGGGTAGGGCTATCAGTGATTTAGGGTGCGGCCATCAGCCCTTTTATGGTGGGGCTATTAGTATTTTAGGGTGGGGCTATCAGTAATTAAGGGGTGGGGTTATCAGTGATTTAGGGTGGGGCTATCAGTAATTTAGGGTGGGGCTATCAGTGATTTAGGGTGGGGCTATCAGACATTTAGGGTTGGGCTATCAGTAATTAAGGGTGGGGCTATCAGTGATTTAGGGTAGGGCTATCAGTGATTTAGGGTGCGGCCATCAGCCCTTTTATGGTGGGGCTATTAGTATTTTAGGGTGGGGCTATCAGTCCTTTAGGGCGTGGCTATCAGACATTTAGGGTTGGGCTATCAGTAATTAAGGGTGGGGCTATCAGTGATTTAGGGTAGGGCTATCAGTGATTTAGGGTGCGGCCATCAGCCCTTTTATGGTGGGGCTATTAGTATTTTAGGGTGGGGCTATCAGTCCTTTAGGGCGTGGCTATCAGACATTTAGGGTTGGGCTATCAGTAATTAAGGGTGGGGCTATCAGTGATTTAGGGTAGGGCTATCAGTGATTTAGGGTGCGGCCATCAGCCCTTTTATGGTGGGGCTATTAGTATTTTAGGGTGGGGCTATCAGTAATTAAGGGGTGGGGTTATCAGTGATTTAGGGTGGGGCTATCAGTAATTTAGGGTGGGGCTATCAGTGATTTAGGGTGGGGCTATCAGTCCTTTAGAGTGGGGCTATCGGTAATTTAGGGTGGGGTTATCAGTGATTTAGGGTGGGGCTATCAGTAATTTAGGGTGGGGCTATCAGTGATTTAGGGTGGGGCTATCAGTTGTTTAGGGTGGGGCTATAAGTAATTTAGGGTGGGGTCATCAGTGGTTTAGGGTGGGGCTATCAGTCATTTAGGGTGGGGCTATCAATAATTTAGGGTGGGGTTATCAGTGATTTAGGGTGGGGCTATCAGTCCTTTAGGGTGGGGCTATCAGTAATTTAGGGTGTGGTATCAGTGATTTTGGGCCGGGTTATCATTATTTTTGGGCAGGACTATCAGTTCTTTAAGATGGTGTTATCAGTTAATTAGGGTGGGGCTATTAGTCATTTAGGGTGGAGCTATCAGTGATTTAGGGGAAGGCTATCAACCCTTCAGGAATTTCAGTTCTGGACTCTCAAAGTACAGCAAAACACCAAAAACCATCCATGTGACTTCAGTGGTTCATCTGTAATCATTAGAAGATCCACGAACACTTTTGTGTGGCAAAAAAAGTTTTAAAACTTTGTTTGTCAGTGTCTTCACATCAGGTCCCCGTGCAGGTTAACTGCGTGTAAAACAATGCTTGCATGATGAACTGCACACACTAATGGCAAAATGTTGTGCTCGATGCATTGTATTGTGTTGTTTTAAGTCCACATTGTCTCTAGACATACCCTTGTCTACACACCCTTTCGTTCACATACTTTTGTCTAGAAAATGCATCTTAACTTATGATTTGTAAAATATTTGGGCCACAAATTTTTGCCTCTCATATGCTGTTACTGTTGCTTTACGCCTGGTTTATTTCTCCCCTCAGTGATTTTTCTGAGCAAGAAGCCAAAAGAGAAGGATGTGGACTCTAAGAGTCAGGTGATCGACAGCATCAGTAGACTGATCTGCACCGCCAAACATCAGCACACCATGCTGAAGGGTAAACCCAACACTCACACAAACACCATCACTACTGCACTCAATACTGCCACCCTGTGGTCACTTCTGTAACACCCAGCTGAACCAAGCATAACTCCTTACTTTCAATAAGCAAAACAGTTGCTGTGGTTTTTCATTTATTTATGCTTCTGCAGGTATCAAGTTTTGGTTAAGTCCTTGGAGTTTTATACCGAGCTGCAATAAAAATAATAATAATAATTCAACAGGTTTAATAAAAAAACTATAGAAGCCCGTTCCCACCACTAAATAAAAAATTAAAAAATACAAACACACACACACACACACAATCAGAATTGTTATAAAGTCGAAATTCAGAGTTATGAAGTTTGAATTCAGAGTTATAACGTTTCAATAAAGAGTTATAAAGTTTCAATTCAGTTATAAAGTTTGAAATCAGAGTTATAAAGTTTGAATTCAGAGTTATAAAGTTTAAATTCAGAGTTATAAAGTTTAAATTCAGAGTTATAAAGTTTAAATTCAGAGTTATAAAGTTTAAATTCAGAGTTATAAAGTTTGAATTCAGAGTTATAAAGTTTTAATTCAGAGTTATAAAGTTTGAATTCAGAGTTATAAAGTTTGAATTCAGAGTTATAAAGCTTGAATTCAGTTATAAAGTTTGAATTCAGAGTTATAAAGTTTGAATTCAGTTATAAAGTTTGATTTCAGAGTTATAAAGTTTAAATTCAGTTATAAAGTTTGAATTCAGAGTTATAAAGTTTAAATTCAGTTATAAAGTTTGAATTCTGAGTTATAAAGATTGAATTCAGGGCTATAAAGTTTAAATTCAGTTATAAAGTTTGAATTTAGGGCTATAAAGTTTAAATTCAGTTATAAAGTTTGAATTTAGGGCTATAAAGTTTGAATTCAGAGTTATAAAGTTTGAATTCAGAGTTATAAAGTTTGAATTCAGAGCTATAAAGTTTGAATTCAGAGCTATAAAGTTTGAATTCAGTTATAAAGTTTGAATTCAGAGTTATAAAGTTTGAATTCAGAGTTATAAAGTTTGAATTCAGTTATAAAGTTTGAATTCAGAGTTACAAAGTTTGAATTCAGAGCTATAAAGTTTGAATTCAGAGTTATAAAGTTTAAATTCAGTTATAAAGTTTGAATTCAGAATTATTAATATTATGGGCTAATGTGCATGTGTCTTTAACAATCTGTTCATGGTCAGTTGCCATAACAGGAACCTCATTTATAACTCAAAATTCTGACTTAATATTTAAAAAAACGAATGTATTATTATTTAGTGGCGGGAACGGGCTTCCATAAAAAACAATGTTATATGTAATAAACATGTTCAGAAAAATTAAACAGCCGACACGCAGACATTTGTAGCTCCGCCCTCTTTTGAAAAAGCACAATCTCATTTGAATTTAAAGAGACAGTCACCAGATTTAGTTGAATAAAGTGATATTAATAAATGTAATCTTACTGTACACAGTCAACGAACAAAACAGCTATTAATAGTCACCATAGTTGTCCTTTACATCTTCAAACATTTTATAAAGAACAACTGCAAATACAATAATCGGAATAATCGTAAAAGACACTGTAAACGTTTAAATAAAAAATTATTTACTTTGTTTTGCTTCCTTTCTCTCTAGTGTCTATTGATGGTGTGGAGTGGCACGACGTGAAGTTTTTCCAGCTAGCCGCGCAGTGGCCGACTCATGTGAAACACTTCCCTGTTGGAATCTTCGGCTACAGCAAGCCAGTGTGAACTTCTCCGGCGGGACAAAACAATGGATTTTCCTGTGGAAATGGTCAATTTGAACGCCTGTGTCCTCGACAGAAACGTTGTTATTGATGTTACTTGTCATTTTTGTTGCTTTGGCGGTGAAAGGAACATCGGCGTGTTTGAAACAAACGCTGTCTTTTGTGTTGAGACCAGCAGCACATGTTGTGGTAGGAATCGTACAGACACGTACGGCAGCTTCAGTTTGCACTTTGTTGGGTTATAGTTTGTTATTATTTCTGTGAAATTTTCCGTGTTGATAATTGTTCTATGTACAATATTATAAGGGTGGGATTTATGAAGTGAGCTTGATTGAAATTTGTACTTGTGTGCGGTTTGGTAATTCTGTGGTAATATTTAAAGGGGCTATATGTTATTAGCCTTGTTATTGGCGACACCGGTGGCCGTTTAAAGAACTGCAGCCGGTCAATTACTTGTACTTGTGCAAACTTAACACACAAGAGACTGACCATGATTTAGAGTCCCAATATACTAATAGTGAAGTTTGGAAATATCAACTTTGTTTTTCAAGCTAAATGTTATTAGCGACATCGGTGGTCGTTTAGTGAACTGCAACTTACTTGTATTCAATGTACATGAGACGGAATGTGATTCAAAGGCCCAATATGCTAACAGCAAACATTTTTTGCATACAAAGTTGAATTAAATTAGCTAAATGTCATTAACTTAGTTATTAGCGACACCGGTGGCCATTACATGAACTGCAACTTACTTATACTTGTGCAAACTTAACGTACATGAGACATGATTTAGAGCCCCAGTATGCTAACAGCGAAGACCTTTTACTTAAAAAAATGCAACATAGTAACTTTTTTAGTAAGCATGATGTCATTAGTTTGTTATTAACAGGGGCGGCTAATGGAGCAGACAATTTTGCTTCAATTTTTAATTCATGCAACAATTTAGTAGTTTGACCAACATTTGAAGTCGCTGCTTCTTCCTTAACTGTTTTCGAGTGTAGCAGTGTGTGTCCAACGCTTTTTTTGTTCAATATTGAGCCTTGTTATTAGCGACACCGGTGGCCATAAAGGGAACTGCAGCTGGTAACTTGCTCGTACTTGTGCAAACCTAATGCACAAATGACCGAACATGATTCAGACCCCCAATATGCTAACCGCAAAGATTGTTTACTTAAAAAGTTGGAAATATCAACTTTTTATACAAGCTATAAGTCATTAGCTTTGTTGTTAGTGGTGGCGCCATTAAACCGGCTAATGAAGTAGATGTACTTTTTAGGTCTCCTCAAAGTTGACTCCAATTTTTAATTCATCCATCATTCGTCCGTTCGCCCAACATTTGAAGTCGCTGCTTTTTTCTTAACTGTTTCGAGTGTAGCAGTGCAATGCACAAGAGACCAAACGTGATTCAGAGCCCCAGTATGCTAACAGCTAAGAATTTTTATGTAAAAAGTTGAAAATATCAACGTTTTTAATGAGCTTTATGTCATTAGTTTAGTTTTTAGCGACACCGGTGGCCATTAAGTGAACTGCAACTTACTTGTACTTGTGCAAACTTAACGCAAATGAGACAGAACGTGATTCAGAGGCCAAATATGTTAACGGCGAAGATCTTTTACATAAAAAGTAAAAAATCTAAACTTTTTTAATAACTATTATGTCATAAGCATTTTAGTGGGGGCGCTAATGAGAACAATTTTGCTTTCATTTTTAATTCATGCAACAACATTTGAAGAAGCTACTTCTTTCTGAACTGTTTTCGAGTGTAGCAGTGTGTCCAAAGCTCTTTTATCTTCAATATTGAACTTTGTTATTAGCGACACCGGTGGCCGTTATGTGAACTGCAACTGGTAACTTGCTTATACTTGTGCAAACTTAACACACAGGAGACAGAACGGGATTTAGAGCTCTAATATGCTAACAGCAAAGTTCTGTTATGTAAAAATGTGAAAATGTCAGCTTTTATAATTAGCTTTACATCGTTAGCTTTGTAGTTAGTGGGGACGCCAACAATCGGCTAATAAAGTAGATGCACTTTTTAGGTCAGTCAGTATACTAGTTTTTACAACATTGCTGCTTCTTCCTTAATTGTTTTAACTGTAGCAGTGTGTCCAAAGCTCGACTTTCTTCAACATTAAGCTTTATTACTAGCGACACCGATGGCTGTTAAGGGAACTGCAAGCGGTAACTTGCTTGTACAGGCTTATAATACAAGACACTGACCATGATTCAGAGGCCCAGTATACTAACGCAGAAGATCTTTCTCGGAAAATGTTGGAAATATCAACTTTTCATACGAGCTATGTACCATTAGCTTTGTTAATAGTGACACCGCTGTATGTTAAATGAACTGCCACTAGTTTTTGCTTGTACTTGCGTAAACCTAACGTACAGGAGACTGAACACAATTCAGAGCCTCAATATATTAACAGCGATTATCTTTTAGGTAAAAATTGGAAATATCAGCTTCTTAAAAAGCTATATGTGATTAGCTTTTGTTATTGGTGACACCGGTGGCCACTAAGTGAACTGCAGCCAGTGGAATTTTTGCGTAAAAAGAAAGTTGGCAATACCTTCTCATCGATATACTGAAACAGGAACATCCAGACGCCGTCCATGCTGCTGAGAGTGACATTGAAATATTTTCTGCACCTTTTACTCTCCCGCCTTTTACTCTGTAATTCACCAGCATCATGTTGAGAGAGTAGGCCAATAAAATTACACTTATGAAATTTTGATTATAGAGTATATTTGAAACTATAGATTATATTGTCCTAGATATGTGAGACTAACGCCTTTTATTTGCATGACACATTGAGGTAATATATATATATATATATATATATATATATATATATATATATATATATATATATATATATATATATATATATCGGCAGTAAAAAGGGATTAATGCATAAATATTTGTACATATAGCCCCTTTAAAGAAAAAGCTTTCCAAAAATCTGAGTTCTTATTGAACTCGCTATTCAGATGACCGATTTGTCCGAGAAACAGATCTTTATAGCTCTTAAATCTCATTTTGTGCCAGTTCTCATGTCTTTGAAATTAATTTTTGGATTTTAATGTGGGAGGGGCCGCGAGACAAGTGAGAGGAGTTAGAATACAAGTGGGAGGGACAACAAGACATGTGGAAGGAGTTTGAATACAGATGGGAAGGACTCAGAGACAAGTGGGAGGAGTTTTAATACAAGTGGGAGGGACCTCAAGACAAGTGGGAGGAGTCTGATTTCAAGTGGGATTATTATTTGCGACACTGGTGGCCGTTTAGTGAACTGTAGCCAGTAACTTGTTCGTACTCATGGAAACTTAACGCACATAAGACTGAAGGTGATTCACAGCCCTAATAAACTAATGCTGACAATTTACGTAAAAAGAAGTTAAATCTTGGAAATATCAACTTTTTGAATAACCTGCATGTTATTAGCGACACCGGTGGACTTTAAGTGAACTGCAGCCAGTAACTTGCACTTGTGCAAACATGAAAGTTTAAAGTTAGCGGTTGCCTTGAATTACAAGGAGAAATTTGGATGCGAGTGGGAGGAGCTGTAAAGCCAGCGGGAGGAGTTTCAACGCAATTGAGAGCTAGTGGGATGGGTTTGAATACTATTGGGAGGGGCTGTGGAACGAGTTGGAGGGGTTCAATACATGTGGGAGGAGTTTGAATGCAGGTGGGGGTTATTAATTGCGACACAGGTGGCCGTATAGTGAACTGTAGCCAGTAAGTTGTTCGTACTCATGTATTCAATTTAACGAACAGAAGACCTAAGGTGATTCACAGCCCCAATAAACTAATGGCACCAATTTACGTAAAATTGGAAATATCAATTTTCGAATAACCTGTATGTTATTAGCGACTCCGGTGGGCTTTAAGTGAACTGCAGCCAGTAACTTGCTTGTACTTGTGCAAACTTAAACGTTTTGGGTTAACAGTTTCTTTAAATAACAAGGATGCAAGTGGGAGGAGCTGTGGGCAAGTGGGCAGAGTTTCGATACAACTTGGAGTTGCTTTAGAACCAGTGGGAGTGGTTTAAATTTTATTTTAAATATACAAGTTGGATTAATATTTGTGACACCGGTGGCCCTTTAGTGAACTACAGCCAGTAACTTGCTTGTACTTGTGCGAACTTAATTTTTAGGGTTAACAATTTCTTTAAATAACAAAGAGGAGGAGTTTGCAAGTGGGCGGAGCTGTGGTGCCAATGGGAGGAGTTTGAATACACTTGGAGGGGCTATGAGGCAAGTGGGAGGGATTTGAATACAATCGGGAGGGGCTGTGAGACAAGTAGGAGGGGTCTGTATACATGTGGGAGGGGCTTTGCGATGAGTGGGAGGGGTTTGAATACAAGTTGGATTATTATTTGTGACACCGGTGGCTGTTTAGTGAACTGCAGCCTGTAACATACTTGTATTTGCGCAAACTTACATTTTTTGGGTTAACGGTTTCTATAAATAACAAGGAGGAGGAGTTTGCAAGTGGGAGGAGCTGTGGTGCCAATGGGAGGAGTTTAAATACACTTGGAGAGTCTGAGTTGATAAGTGGGAGGGATTTTAATACAACTGGGAGGGGCTGTGGGACAAGGGGTTTGAATGCAAGTAGGAGGGGCTTTTGACAAGTGGGAGGGGTTTATTGAATGATTTTTAGCATAGCTGTGAATACTAAAGGGCACATCCTTTAAACTTAAGCCAGATGAACCCTTTTAGGATAAGAAAGTGATATATATAACAGTGCTTTATAATTATAGCCATGCCGGCGGGGAAGGGAACACGTGTGGATAAATGTGGTGCTTCAGGTTTTCTTGTGCGAGAAAGGGAGATCTGGGTTTGTAAAATGCTTTAAAAAGCCCTTTAAATGGTTTTGTTTGCTGTTTGTGCGGTGGTGTGAGCGGATTTCTTTCACTTTTGACTCTTTCTAGCTGCCATGTCTGATCATTCACTGCGAGTGTCTTTGTGCGCTGAAAACAGGGTCCAGTTACTGCCAGCTAATAAGGGCTCATCATGAAGGATTGTGAGGATGAAAACAGGACATCTTGTCTGACTTTTTGTAGCTCTTTTTGTGGTTGTTTTTTTTTTTTCGAAGTCCCTTTACGAAAATGGCCTGTTTGTAAATACCGCGTGAGGGTGGGAGCAGCTTTACCTGTGGTTGTTTGTGTCCGTGTGAAAGAGATATTCAGTATTATTTCCATTCGGTGAGTTACAGCTTGTGGCGTTCTTTTTACAGCCAAGATATACTTACACTGCGCATTACATAGATGTTTTTCGTGTCTTTCAAGAGTATCGTTCTTTTCCATGTACTACTTTTTGTACTCTTTTGTTTAACTGAAGTGGGCTGCTGAGGGTAACCCGACTGTTTTGGGCCCTCTGGTTGTTTTTAAGCACTACTTTTAGGTCAACGTCAGACGAGAGAACGCTAATATTTGATGGGTCTGTTTTAAAAAGCAGAGGTTTTTGCACAAAGCTTACTTTTAAGTTGGACAGTATTGATTCTGAACGAACCACTGAGGAAAGCTTCTCTTGGATTCTGTGTGTACAGTATACTGCCATTTCATATCCTTTATACTGGTTTGAATTGTCATACGAATACTAAAATGATTTGAACCATGGCTGCGTTGTGATTTTTTAACATTTACTATTAGTGTTTGTTTTTTCTATTTCCCTTTTTAAAGGAGTTGAGCTCTTTTATAGACTTGCTTTTGTTTTCGTTTCTTTCTTTTTGGTTTGTTTTCTGACATGTAAATGAAACTGAGACAGTGAACCGGTGTGTTCTGTTGTGGAGTGCACAGACAAAAGTAATATTAGTTTTATTTTGTTTTCAGATTTGATAAATACCTACTGGAGGATTGTGCAAATAAATGACGAATAATACAAATACACCTGTGTTGTTTGCTTGTGCTTTTTTTTAATCCAACCTAGAGATGTCCAAACTAGAGCCTGCGGACCACAATTGGCAAAATAGTAACCTTTGATTTGGCCCGCCAGAGAAGAGATGGGCGAATGCCTCAAACGGAGATCATCATTTCTAATTTTACATAACCCTTTTGTTTGTTTGTGTAACTGTTGAGCTACAAAAAAATGCAAAACTGTGAATGTGAATTAATCAGATTTTTAAAGGGTCTTGAAACCCTAAAACACTTACCGTACGTTCACACCGAAACCAGCGAGAGCGCCAAAGTAGCCGGAAGTCATTCGTTTTCAATGAGAGCTGGTGCATCTTTAACTGTGTGGGTGTTGTAGAGAGTTGAAATCAAGTCAACTTAATGGTAATGAGCTATGACGCGGTTCGGCAGCAACCAATCAGAATGTAGAAGTCCACTCCTTGAGAGGAGTTCAGAGAACACAGACCTGTGAGCTTTAGTTCTGACCACAGTTGTTCCCAAGCGTTTGGTTATTGCGGTCACCGTGTCTTCAATTATTTGCAAAGTCTTCTTACAGGAACATGCATTAAATAAGTTACTGGCGAGTTACTGATGTGCATTAATGTTATTATATATATTTTTCTTTAAAAAGAAAGAAATGTCATGCGACAGTACACAACAGAACTGCTGCTTCAGGATATTTCAGACTTATGGACACATCGCATAATGAAGTGGAGCAAAGCCACGCCAAACGCAACTTGATCTCCCATTGTTAAATGAATTTGATAAGAAGTGCGCAACATTTTCACGCTAGAAACTCTGTATTATGCAGGAATGTAGCTGATATGCTGCAACGGCTAAATACAAGATCAATGTAGTGAATTTTATTACTCGCCGCCAGAGTTGAAGGCAGACATCGTTGTCACCAAGGCGGCCTGGGCGCTATCGGTGTGAAAGCACAGTTAGGGTATTACTTTTTGTACTTTTTTTGTTTAATTGATGCGGGCTGCTTAGATTTCCCTGCTGAAAAATCCAGCTTAAACCAGCCTAGGCTGGTTTAAGCTGGATTTTTTAGCAGGGTTACTCAACCGTTTTGGGGCCGCTGGTTGTTTTTGAGCACAACTTTTAGCTTTTAGGTCAACGTCAGACGGTTATGAAACCCTAAAACACTTATATAAAGTGTTTGATATATATATATATATACACACACACACACACACACACACACACACACACACACACACACACACACACACACACACACACACACAGTTGAAATTAGAGATATTAGCACCCCTTTGAAATTTTACATTTTCTTTCTACAACAACCCAAAATGAGCGAGTTTGAGCCACTTGTACATTCAGGAAGTGTATTATTTATTTATTTATTTATTTATTTTTTCATTTTTAGTGTTGAGACATATAATACTGTTTGGGTTACTTATTTAGGTGTACATATTTTATTTGTATTTTTTGTGTGACCACCGATACAAAGAATCATCTATAAGGAATTTTGCACAGATGTTTTAAAGAACAGTGTTGGAGGTTTAACTCCCCTTTTAATCTCATATTTACGAAAAACATTTAAAGTTCTAAAGCAGCTGTGTCCCTGAAAAAGCCGTGACAGTGTCATTAGAAACTGAATTGGAAATGGCCTTATTTTAATATATCAGTCGTGAACTGAGGTGGGCCGGTAGGCTAGAAACTCCAGGGCTGAAAAGAAGTCCCACTCCAGCCCTGAGCACAGCCAAACAGATGAGTTTTCAGTCTTGATGTGAATGTGCCTAGTGAGTGAGGTACGAATCACTTTGTAATGAATGAGCTGATGATTAGGATTCTTAGAGGAAAGTTTAAAGTTAGTCCATATAGACTCCAAATTTGTTCATAATGGTATTATCATAATTCTATTTTTAGTAGATAAATGGAATAAATTATCATGGCTAAAAAAATTAAATAACTGAAATAATGGAGCATTAAATAACATTGACATGCCAGATTTCAGCTGTCATTTTGTTTATACCAGCTTTCCAGTCACCTGCACTTCTGTGTTTTACCAGCAGATGGCTGCAGAATCAAAGATAATCGTGACGACATCAGCAAAACATCATCATGATCAAGATGTTGCATGGGTTTTATTCGAACACTTCTCTGTTTATGAATGCAAGCAGCGAGATTACTGATCACACGTAAATAGTAGGCTAATGAGCATCAACATTAGGATCAAGGATCATAAAAGGAAGCAAATATGTGCATTTACTTTTTAACGAAGTAGGCTATACAAACTCAGCTCCAACGTGAAGCTAAAATAGATCAATACACTAAAAAACGTTGAGTTGTTTATTTAACCCAATGGTTGGGTAAGACATATGGTGCTTTGTTATTTTATCAATAACTCAACTAGTTGGGTTAAAAATTTGAATTATAAAAGTCAACTCTAAATCCAGCCATCACACGTAATGTAAAAACAGTAATTATACCCAGTATTATTCATATTATTCATTAAAAGATCTATTTTTCTATTTTACTAACGTCAACCTCATCCAAACCCTTACAATAAAGTAAAAATGGTAATTATGCTGAGTATTATTCATATTATTGAATAAATTATCCTTTAATTGTATTTTATTAACGCCTACATCACACTAACCTTAAATCCAGCCATCACAAGTACAGTAAATACAGTTATTATACCTAGTATTATTCATAGTATTGATTATATTATCCATTAATTGTATTTTATTAAAGTCTACGTCACCCTAACCCTAAATCCAACCATCACAAGTACTGTAAAACACTAATTATACAGAGTATTATTCATATTATTGATTAAATTACCCATTTATTGTACTTTATTAACGTTTACTCCACCCCAACCCTAACAAGTACTGTAAAAACAGTAATTATTCCCAGTACTATTCATATTATTTATTAAATTATCCTTTAATTGTATTTTATTAATGTTTACCTCACCCCAACTCTAAACCCAACCATCACAAGTAATGTAAAAACATTAATTATACCCAGTATTATTCATATTATTGATTAAATTACCCTTTTATTAACGTGTACCCCTACCCCAAACCTAAAACCAACCTCACAGTAATGTAAATAAATATAAATTATTGTTGTGCAGTGTCACAAAAACTATTGATGTGAGTGTATCCCATCAAGACTACCACACCCTTATTAACTAAAATCCCACCCACCTCCAGCGTCTGAGCCAATCAGATACGCCAGTAGCGTTCTAAAATGAATAATAATGAGAAAGCCCTTCACCATAGTAGGATTGGCGGAGCGCAGCCGCAGTGAGTGCGCAGTGCCGGTCCAGTTGGCTCTCCCAGTCCCGTTTCTGGATTAAACGTGATGAATTTTCTCTTAAATCGGCTTTAATTGAACACATTCCCGAAAGATTAGCGCCTTGGACGGAACAGCGATCGTAGCAGGTATGTCAGGCTATGTAAATGAGCATGAGCGAGTGTGTTTATAATAACAACACACATGTCGACATGTAAGCTGAGGTAACCGTAATCAAGAAAGCGTGTGTTTGTTATGTACGCAAACGGATTTGTTTTGTTTTGGTGGCGTTTTGCTCGGTTTTGCGTGAATATATCGAGCGTTGTTGTTTTGTGACAGGGTTTTATAGCCATTGTAGTGACCTGTGGACTCTCATACATCAGCAGATACTCATCAGGACAACACCCAGACTCTCATTCATATGCATAAACATGCATAAATAGGACAGATCAACCTATTGTTTAACAATACACACTGTAATACTCGTTACAGTTCTGTTTATGTGATGTTTACTGTCGGTGACATCACACCAGACACGTAATGACTGTTATATCATCGTGATTCATGCAAACACATCATTTACTGCTACTTTAATTATACTAATAATATCATGTGCACAGTTGCCTATGCTTATAATTGAGCTTCAGGTGAATATTGTTATATTACCTATAATAATTACGTTATTACAAAGCGTTAATATCATTAGCAGTTTTTAATACTTGTACTAAAGCTACGTGAATTTATAAATGTGCAAATGTTTATGTATTGAACTCTATATTTGTTTATAAATAAATAAATGTTTATGTGTTATTGGGCTGCATGATTTGAGGGTAAATTTAATATATTCCATTATTAAAAATAACATAAAATGCTATTGCATTTAAAGATGACATTAAATTACATAATGACAATTAATGACATTAAAAATCAAAGTTGTACAATTGTCAATTCTACATCATTGTTTCCTTTTAAAATAGCAATTGTTATTATTACTAAATTAAAATATACAAATGATTATATCACATCAAACTATTTATTTTATTGATTTATTATTTATTATTAATTTATTATTTATTATTGATCTATTTATATTGATATATAAATTAATTGAAATATATATTGTTGAAATATAAACATAAATTAAAGATTTGAATGACATTTAAAATAACTTTTAGTTTTATGGCTGTGCAATATGATGATTTATTTTATGGACAATAATGTCATATTAGTATGCTAAATATTGTTTATTTCAGAAAACATTTTTACCTTCATAGTTATAATTATTCTGTATAATTACTGTTTGCCATCATAAATATTCATCATTTAGGAAAAAAAGTTGCAGGCTTGACAGTACAGTATTTTCTGTTTCCGTTTATCATTATATTTAGCAATATATTAAGTTTTTTTGTGTTATCTTATGTTATTTGCTTTTGTTTTAGTAATATTTTAGTAATATTTAGTAATCAGACATTTGTAGGTCTGAATAAAGCCAGAAGGATTATCACATATAATTGAGCACATTATTTGAGTATTTAATTTTAATAAATGTAAAATAGAAATAGTGTTTGAATATTTATAATGATTGATTATCAGTGTAAGTCATAGTTAGGGATGCAACGATTATAGTTTTTGGTTGTACGATTATAGTCTGTGGAATAATCACGGTTTCACCGTTATTATGCATTCACTGATTTTAAAATGACTAGTTTGAATGACTAGTGAAAACTCCTTATATTTTAAAGTGATATTTATTACTGCTCAGTAACCAAATAATATTGTACAACACAAAATAATAATAATGAACAAACAATAGTCCATTTCTCTTTGGACTTAAAAATAAGTGAAATTTTTTTTTGACATTTAAACAAGTAATAATTTTAAACTGACAATAAATAAATAAATGAATAAATAAACAAATAATAAATAAATACTAAATAAATAAACAAATAAATTAACAAATAAATAAATAAACAAATAACAAAAAAAATAAACATTAAATAAACAAATAACAAATACAATTATTAATAAATTATAAACAAATAAATAAATAATAAACAGACAATTAAACAAATAAATAAATAATAAATAAATAAACAAATAATAAATAAATACTAAATAAATAAACAAATAAATTAGTAAATTAATAAATAAACAAACAAATAAAAAACAAATAATAAATACATTAATTAATTAATTAATAAACAAACAAATAACAAATAAATAAGCAAATAATAAATACATTAATTAATTGATTAATAAACAAACAAATAAATAAATAATAAACAGACAAATAAATAAACAAATAAATAAATAATGAATACAGAAATAAACAAATAATAAATAAATTAAATAAATAAATAAACAAATAAAGAATAAATGAATAAATACATAAACAAATAATAAATGAATAAATAAACAAATAATAAATAAATAAATAAATATACAGTATTTTTCTAATATAAATCTATTATAAGTATTTTCTTATGTAAATGTAAGTATTTCTCTTTTAAAGAGAACAGATGTATAAAATGGAAAAAACTCACAATAACAGGTCACCGGAAGTTTATCAGTATGGGAAGAACACTAGCTCGTCATATACCCTACTGAAACATGAAGAGAGGGTGGAACATAATGTAGCTCCTCCCCTTTTAAAAAAACAGCCAATAGTGTTTTGTTTTCACTCAGCTCTGCCAGTGAGAGTGGTTGAGCTCAAGTGCATCAAATGAGAAGCCAATGAGAAGTGTCTTGAAGGGGGTGGGGCATGTCAGACACTAGAAAGCACCTGATTGGTCAGAAGATTTGATGAGAAACTGAAGTATGAGGTGACGTGGAAAAAAACGTTCCATATAGAGGTAACAAAACACAACTTTACATGTTTATATCAGTTTTATATCTACTAAATATGAAATGTGTCACTGGTTTGGAGCACACTTGCTTATAGATAGCCTAAAAATGAACAATACTGAAACTCACATCTAGAAAACTTTATTTTAGTTTCATGCGACCTATGTAAACACTTTAAGGAAATATCAAACAGCGTTTTCCTTCAAAAATATAAGCAATTACAATTCTGCTATAAATATTGACACTACTAAGCGATCACTTCTTGTTGAAAATATAAAGTCAGTTGGGATATGAGTTGGCCACGCCCACTTATTTACATTTCACGGTATACACCGAATAGAAATCTGCTTTGTGGTACACATTTCATTCAGCGCTAATGATATATAGTCACACTGCCCAGCCCTACATCACATATCAGCTGTGTGACATTGAGTTTATAGGACTTCAACTGCAGTGTGAATGATGATGATTATGTTCAGTTTCAGCCACTCCTCTCTTCAGCAAACACTGCATGTCAATAATGCAGTGCAGACAAAGCCACAATCACACACACACACACACACACACACACACACACACACACACACACACACACAATGCTCAGGCTCCGTTTTACAATAATTTATACTTTTCCTGCCGGCAGGGCTTTGATTGTTGACAGAGCTTTGCTAAGTGGTTTTCTTTGCTGCTATATCATGGATACTCAATATATATATAGTGCTGGTCAAAAATAATTTCTTTCAAGATGCTTGTATACACTATATATATTTAGTATATATATTTATATATATTTTTTTTACACATATATATATTTATTTATTTATTCATATTTATTTTATTTATATATTATATATTACACAGTTGAAAGCAGAAGTTAACACACGCTCTAAAAAAAGGAATATAACATTTTTATAACATTTTTTCAAAAAATAAAAAAAAGGAGCATAACAATTATGTAAAAAATGTTTGATAGTAAATTTACTATTTTAGGTCTGTTAGGATTTCCTAAATGATTTACATTTGCTCAATGCCAGAATAATGAGAGAATTGTTTATTAATTCTAGACAGTCAGAAGTTTACACACATTTCCTTGGTATTTTAGCTTTGCTTTTAAACTGTTTAACTTTGGTCAGATGTTTTGGGTCTCCTTCCACAAGCTTCTCACAATAGTTTGCAGGAGTTTTGGCCCATTCCTCCTGCAGAATTGCTGTAACTGAGTCAGATTTGTAGGCTGTCTTGCTCGCACAAGCTTTCTCAACTCTGCCCACACATTCTCTATAGGATTGAGATCAGGGCTTTGTGATGGCCACTCCAAAACATTCCCTCTGTTGTCCTTAAAGCACATGTGAACTCATTTGGCAGTGTGCTTAGGGTCATGGTCTGTCTGGAAGAGCCATTTGTAGCCGAGTGTAATGTCCTGGCTGATGTGTTGAGATGTTGCTTCAGTATTTCTCCATGATGTTCTGTCTTCATGATGCCATCTATGCTGTGAAGTGGACCAGTCCCTCCTGCAGCAAAACAGCCCCACAACATGATGCTGCCGCCCCCATACTGCACAGTTGGGATGGTGTTCTAGGCTTGTTCCTCTTTGTCCTCCACATGTAACACTGCTCATTATGGGCAAACAGTTCAATCTCAGCTCCATCAGAGCACAGGACATGTCTCCACACATCAGTGTCATTCAGCAAACTGTAATCTGGCTTTGTTGTTGATTCTGGCTTGTTGATTTTCTCATGTTGTCACACAGGGAAGCAGTGTGTTTGAGCTTCTCCTTCAATACTATTCTACAGTTGTGCCTCACATTAACTCAAATGTTGTCAATCAGCCAATCAGAAACTTCCAAAACCCTGACATCATCATCTGAGCTTTATCAGAGGCAGAATAATCTTATTGTGTGTAAACTTGACTTTCAAGAGCAGTTATAACAATTTCTCAACAAATATCTCTCATTATTCTCCTATTCAGCAGAACAGAAACACATTTGATCATCCTAACTTACCTAAAAGAGGAAAAGTTTAGTCTCATTAACATCTCACTCTTTTTTAATTCTTATGTGCCTTTTTATACAGCGAATGTCAACTTCTGTTTTTAACTGTATATATATATAAGGTGGCTATTGCTTCTTACGTTTTAAGACGTTAATTTAAGACTCTTAAAATTAATTAAAATGTAAATGTAGCTGAAGGAGAGTTGTATAAAAGTACTTTAAACCCCACATAAAATCTGGAAATATGAAAATACCAGATTTCTCTTCTCTTTTTTTGCTTATGCTGGAGACTCTTATTTGTCTCTGAGCTTTTTGCATTCGCAGCTTTCAGGTCAGCGCTTGCCTGTAAACTCTAAACTCCATTAGAGGACATACATCACAGGCTCGCTCCAACAGTGTTATTGAATTAAGAGCACTGAGACATTCATAAAGCAAACCCTTCCCCATTGACTCAGCACAAATTCACATCAGGCTATGATATTGGAGAAATCAGAAATGTCCACAGTACTGTGCAAAAGTCCTAAGCGCTAGACCAGATTTGTTGGACTATTTACAGAATATAGAATCCATCAGTCTCTTTATTGCAAACAAACAGAAAATATAGGACAACAACAGCAGCACAACATTTCCTCTTTAAGCAAAAGGCAAGTGCTTAATGTGGCTTCGCTTGGCATCAGGCACAGCTTGAACTCTCTTGTTCTAATTGTCCTGCCATTTTCTGAAATAATCTGCTGTGTGATTATATCAGGCTTGTTTTTAGCACATTCTTCTTTAGGTAAAGAGTTTCTTTTAGGGCGGGGCTATCGTTGTTTTAGGGAAGTGCTATTCGTCCTTTAGGGCGGGGCTATCAGTTCTTTAAGGTGGGTCTATTAGTGTTTTAGGGCGGAGCTATCAGTCATTTATGGTGGAGCTATCATTCTTTTAGGGCAGGGCTTTTAGTCATTAAGGGCGGGGCTATCAGTCTTTTACAGCAAAGCTATTGGTCCTTTAGGGCGGGGCTATCGTTGTTTTAGGGAAGTGCTATTCATCCTTTAGGGCGGGGCTATCAGTTCTTTAAGGTGGGTCTATTAGTGTTTTAGGGCGGAGCTATCAGTCATTTAGGGTGGAGCTGTCATACTTTTAGGGCAGGGCCTTTAGTCATTAAGGGCGGGGCTATCAGTCTTTTACAGCAAAGCTATTGGTCCTTTAGGGCGGGGCTATCAGTCATTTATGTTAAAGCTGTCATTCTTTTAGGGCAGGGCCTTTAGTCATTAAGGGCGGGGCTAGCAGTCTTTTACAGCAAAGCTATTAGTCCTTTAGGGTTGGGCTATCGTTGTTTTAGGGCAGGGCTTTTAGTCATTAAGGGCGGGGCTATCAGTCTTTTACAGCAAAGCTATTGGTCCTTTAGGGCGGAGCTATCAGTCATTTATGTTAAAGCTGTCATTCTTTTAGGGCAGGGCCTTTAGTCATTAAGGGCGGGGCTAGCAGTCTTTTACAGCAAAGCTATTGGTCCTTTAGGGCAGGGCTATTGTTGTTTTAGGGCAGGGCTATTAGTCCTTTAGGACGGGGCTATCAGTTATTTAGGGTGGGGCTAGTAGTGTTCTAGGGCGGAGCTATCAGTCATTTATGGTGGAGCTGTCATTCTTTTAGAGCAGGGCTTTTAGTCATTAAGGGCGGGGCTATCAGTCTTTTACAGCAAAGCTATTGGTCCTTTAGGGCGGGGCTATCAGTCATTTAGGGCGGAGCTGTCAGGACATGTCTAATTTCTTTCTGTCATCTATTTGGCATTCTTCCTCTATTTTGTTGGCAACACCCATCTTTCAAAGATCCAGTTACTTCCCAAAAGACTTAATCATGCACCGGCCTCCTGTTTTTCCTAATTTGTGCACCGTTTAGAACCAAACGACACGATATGGGAAAAAAGGACAGTCTAAACTTCTGTTTCATGATCGATGTACGCTACGGCGTATCTCCTGCATGCCGTCGTGAGCATTTGAAGTCCGAGCGATCAGCAGCACAAACACAACACTGCACAAACTGAAGAACTGAGAAAACGAGCCACGCCAGTAAAGTTGTCCGCATGGAGACAGATATGTGACAAACAATGAGTTCATTATAAATCACAGAGATCGTAAAGTTGTTTTGTGGTGTTCATTTGGTGTTGTGCAAAGATCTGCATGAAGATAATCCTTTATTAATCAAGAATATGTCTGTGTAAATCTCATTAGTGTGAAAAGAAACAAGCATTGTTGTTGTTATACTGCCCTCTAGTGTTCATTTCATCCACAAAGTGTGCTTTTGTTCGTGTTCATGTATTTAAAGTGCTCCTGTGTTGCAAATGTTCACCTGTTGTGGTCTACACAGAAATCCTCACACAGTGGTGACTTGTCTTACTGCTTCCTGATTGGTTAATCATTAAACACTGTCCGGCAGAGCAAGGTTTAACTTAAGTAAATGATTTTCATCATGGGAAGTTAACAGGTAAATGTATGTTCACATTAACCAATGACATGAATGTGACTCTTTGTGTTGTGTGTGTGTGCATTTAAAGCCTGTAGATTCATCAAGTGTTGTGCTTTAATAAATATTGCATACTTTTAGGCCTTTATCACTCATTTAGCTTTAGTGGTATTGCTTGTAAAAAGTTTTTTTCTATCTACTTTTGTCAAATAGCGATTTATAAAAGTCCCTATAAGCTAAATCAAGTAGCAATCAAGTAGGAGAACATTACAAACTTCAAGTTGAAGAAAACACATGCTGTATATGAAAATCAAAACAAGGTACAGATTGAAAGTTTGTGAAATATACATACTGGCTGCGTCCGAAACCGCATGCTTCCATTCTACAGTACATATCGCAGAGACATCAATTAGTCTATAAATAATTAATTTCGTTTGTTAAGCGCAAAGATTTGTTTCAAAACTATTTCCAAATTCAGTTCTAATTTCTAGCAAACAAATAAATGAACAATAATGACCAAGTGTGGTCAAAATACTGAGTTATTTCCAAATACACCTGCCATGCCCCATACGGTCTAAAACCTGACAGGTGGACAAATCTAAGCTTGTTTTTAATAAAACAAATATAAATATGGATATAATAAATAATACTGCTAATAATAATAACATTATACAGAAGCAAATTGTTATGAATGAACTGAAAAAGCCTCCCGAGATGAAGAAGACATAAAGCAGTGATTTTTCATATTTATGTAGGCTGGAAAATAATATGTTTTGTAATATTTTAATCCTTTATATTTATATCCTATATCTATTCTTATTATATCCTATATATATCCTTAATATTTAAATGTTTTCATTGTGTGTATTAAGCAGTGTGTAAGGGAGGCGCAACTCTGCGCTGGAGTTTAGACCGGGTTTGTTTTGGTCTAATGAAAAATCTATTATAGTTTCTCAAAATAGCAACGCGCCAGCGGTCCGCCTCAGAACACCTTCCTTTTTAGAGCAGAACACATATGGGCGCACATATGGGCGCTAATGCATTTGCTATTTAAACAGCGTAGCACAACGCCTCAAAACCACTCTTGCGCCAAGCTACAACTATCAAAAGACTACTGCGCCACGCCTTGCGCCACACTGCGCCGTGTGTATGATAGGGCCCTCAGTCACAGAGTCATCACGATATGCCTGTGTTTGTTGTTAATGCACGCCATCTAGTGGCCAAAATTGCATCTGTGCCTTTATGCGAGGTCATAAACACAGCGTCCTGTTATTCAAAACATGTACCGCTATTACATGTACCGACCTTTCAGAACATTGGAATTTTCAGTGGCTGTGGTGATGAAGATGGTAAAATCGCAGTAATTCATTACAAATATGCACTGATTTAGAAACGTTTGAACTCGTGGAACTCCTTTTTGATCACATTTGATGATTGATTGATGATCACAGAGCGCTGAACAGATCTTTTAATCCCGGTTGCTTTGCGCACATGCTGTCTGCTTGATTTAAGGTTAATATTATCTATAATACTTCTGTTCCTGCACAGGCTTCCCGCTGAGCATGTCCACCATGGTGTACCCGCGTGAGGAGCGGCTGGAGAAGCTGACCCAGGACGAGATCATCTCCAGCACCAAACTGGTGATCCAGGGCCTGGAGGCCCTGAAGAGCGAGCACAACTCCATCCTGCAGAGTCTGCTGGAGACCATCCAGTGCCTGAAGAAGGACGAGGAGGCCAGTCTGGTGCACGAGAAGTCCAGCCTGCTGCGCAAATCAGTGGAGATGATAGAGCTGGGCCTGGGGGAAGCACAGGTAAGGCACCACTGTTCAGGATTGGAGTTACAATTTACTTTAAATGCAAGTTTTTTAATTAAAGGTGGTAATCGCAGAGAAAAGACATTATTCTCTGGATTTGCATGACCTGCACTGTTGAGTTATGATTATAGTTGACCAAGGGAAGCAGTTCAGAATACATTTTAATCAAGGCATGAGTGAAAGTTCATCATGTGCATGTGTTTTTAAGGCCTGGGAGAGTTCAGCAGTTTAAGTATTTAAGCACAATAAGTGGGAGTAGAACACAGCCAGGAACTCTGTTTCTCACTACAGCTCCAGAGGTGTAGTTGCGAGTGCTCAAGTTTGCAATGCAATTTGAAAATGTTCATTGGAGCGACGGATTTGGGAAACGTCAAATCATTAAACTGACGGAACTTGCGACCATAGTTGGCCAACGATGGTTTTAGGAAATGCACCCATGGTCAGTAGTAAGCATTATAATGTGTGTTTCTGCTGTGTTAAGGTGATGATGGCTCTGTCCAACCACCTGAACGCGGTGGAGTCGGAGAAGCAGAAGCTGCGGGCTCAGGTGCGCCGCCTCTGCCAGGAGAACCAGTGGCTGCGGGACGAGCTGGCCAACACACAACACAAGGTCCAGAAGAGCGAGCAGAGCGTGGCACAGCTGGAGGAGGAGAAGAAACATCTGGAGTTCATGAACCAGCTCAAGAAATACGACGACGGAGCCACGCCAGAGGTCAGTCCTCACAACGATATGCACAGGGACGTTTCACTGTCAGTCAGGCAGCTCAAGCGCTTGAGGGAGAGTAAATAATGTGGGGTCAACTTTAAAGTAAATCACTTTAGGGGGTTAAACACAGTTGTGTGTGAATATAAGCAGCCTCTATAGGTAAAAGTGTATTAATTGTGTTTGTTATAATCAGACTTTATATAAACAGTCTGCAGAAACTGCTGTGAGGCACTACCTACCGCGCCACTATGCCACCCGCTCTAGAGCCTTATTTTACATCTTGTAAAAGTGGCATAATAGGTGCCATTTTACTCCTCTCTGCAGCTCCATCTTTCCTGCAGATGATCTGGAGATCTTACAGAGAGGCGTCGATCAATAACTCAGTGGTATTCCTGGCAAGCGGGACGTCCTCTGCTTTATCCAGCTGACGTTTTCATTTCTCTCTCCGCTGTGGTGGGAATCGAAGGCTCTTCATCTGGTCAAATGGCAGACGCCTCCAGCTTGTCATTTATATTTCATGAAGGGCTGTACTTCCTGCATTAATGAGCCTGTTAACATTCACAGAGTTTACAGACAGTGGGAGATACGATTGACCAAAGAAATCTGTGAGATAGATGCTGACCCCGACTGAAAAAATAATCATGGGGCAATTTAAACTGTATTAAGTTATTAAACTGAATTAAAAGCCCTTTTCACCCCACTGTGTGTGTTTTTGTGTTTGTGTGTAGGAAGAGAAAAATAGCGACACTCCCAAAGATTCACTGGACGATTTGTTTCCCAATGATGAAGATGACCAGGGTAAGGAAATACAAAAATACATGTCATACACACCGTACTCACACATACAGCAGGATAATAAAATATCTATAAAGATCTAATAATCAGTCTAATTCCCGAGCTTTCAGTTCATTCATGACCATCTGCATCTGTATAATGTGATATTGTATAATGTATTATTAGCAGTATTATTGATTTTCTGCAGATTTATATTAGTTTTAATAAACACTAGTGTGTGTAGTCTAATATTATTTACTGTCCTCATGGCAAAGAGAAAATAAATTATTATTAGAGTTATTAGAGATGACTTATTAACACTATTATGTGCAGAAATGTGCTGAAGAAATCTGCTCTCCATTAAACAGAAATTGGGGGCCAAAAATATACAAGAGGGGCTAATAAATCAGGGCTAATAATTCTGACTTCAACTGTCTATCGTAGAAAAACTATGTCCGTTTTGTCCAATATGGTGCAGCCCTGACTGCTGCTGTTGCTCTCTGTCACCCCTTTAGTCTCACACCAGCACAACAGTGCCGCGGTGGCTGCTGCTCAGCAGGGCGGGTACGAGATCCCGGCCCGTCTGCGAACGCTGCATAACCTGGTGATCCAGTACGCGTCTCAGGGCCGCTACGAGGTGGCCGTTCCGCTCTGCAAACAGGCTCTGGAGGATCTGGAGAAAACCTCTGGACATGACCATCCGGATGTGGCCACCATGCTCAACATCCTGGCTCTGGTGTACCGGTGTGTGTGTGTTAGGGTTGTCAAAAGTATCAGTGGTATCAATTGGTAATGAAATTGTAAAAGGTCCATTTTCTGCTAACATTTGAGCGCTGTTGAGCATGTATACAATGCAGATTGCTTCAGTGTTTGTTTATCTGTGTTTACTCTTAGTGAACAGTGGTGAAGAGTGTTAAACCGATGACCTTCACAGCCAATCACAGACATTTCTGTTGAGCAGATGAACACAATGGCCAATAAGCAGTGTTTAGAAATGTGCTCAACAAGGGGCCATATTGGTACCTTAAAAGTTATATATATTAGTACCTCAAGGATGCATATTGGTATCTTAAAGTAAAATATTAGTACCTAAGGAATCCATATTGATACCTTAAAGTTATATATTAGTACCTCAAGAATTGTATTGGTACCTTAAAGTAATATACTAGTACCTAAGGGATCCATATTGATACTGTAAAGTTGTATATTAGCACCTCAAGAAACCATATTGGAACCTTTTAAAGGTGTATATTAGTACATAAAGGATCCATATTAGTGACAAAGTTATATATTAGTACCTCAAGAAACCATATTGGTACCTTAACGTTGTATACTAGTGCCTAAAAGATCCGTATTGGTACCTTAATTTGTATATTAGTACCTCAAGGGTCTATATTAGTCCTTTAAAGTTATATATTAGTACCTCAAGGATCCGTATTGGTACCTTAAAGTTGTATATAAGTGCCTAAAAGATCTGTATTGGTACCTTAATTTGTATATTAGTACCTCAAGGATCCGTATTGGTCCCTTAAAGTTATATATAAGTGCATAAAGGATCTATATTAGTACCCTAAAGTTATACATTACTACCTCAAGATACCATATTGGTACCTTAAAGTTTTATATTAGTACCTCAAGAATCCGCATTGGTACCTTAAAGCAATATATAAGTACCTTAAGGATGCATATCGGTACCCTAAAGTTATATATCAGTACCTCATGAAACCATTTTGGTACCTTAAATTAGAATATTAGTACCTCAAGAATACATATTGGTGCGTTAAAGTTGTATATTAGTACCTAAAGGGTCCGTATTGGTACCCTAAATTTATCTATTAGTACCTCATGATACCATCTTGTTATCTTAAAGTTATATATTAGTACCTCGAGAATCCATATTGTAAATTAAATGTGGTAAATAAAAAGAAAATTAAGTGTTTTTATTATTTTGTCTGGGCCCGTTTACACATGTGGAAGTATTTAATCATTCTTTACATTTCAATAATTGTGTTAAAATATACATCTTTTGAAATTCCTTGTTGTTTTTCCTCCTCTGTCAGAAATTCTCCTAATTTGGTGTCTGATCTTATTTAATGTAGGATAACAGTGGAATGAACAGCCTCCACAATAAGCCTTTGAAATAATAAAGCTGTGTTTGCGTTCATTCAGGGACCAGAATAAATACAAGGAAGCTGCTCACCTGCTTAATGATGCCCTTTCAATCAGAGAAAAGACCCTGGGCAATGACAACCCTGCTGTAAGTAGCACACAACACACGACTTTACACTGATGCAGAGGAATGGATCTGGTGCAGTTGTGCTTGTGGGTATCTGTTAAGCGCGTAAGCTTATTTCTGCCATTAAAACAATTATAATAAATAGCATTTCCCCTGGCAATTGATCCTAAATATTTAACAGGTTTTTTTTTTATAATTATTATATTTTATTAGTTTGTGTGTGTGTGCACTCGATGTCCTTTGAATGATTATGAGCTGATTTAAATGCTGATTTAATATCACAATTTATAAAAGATGTGAGATTTGTTTTTGGGAAAGTGAAAGTTAACACTTAAACACTGCCTGACAGAAGTCTTGTCGCCTATCCAAGTTTTAGGAACAACGAATAATAACTGGACTTCTAGTTGATGATTTGGTATCAGAAGTGTCTTATATGAAAGGCAAAGGCCTCTAGATCAGTGGTTCCCCTGCTGAAAAATCCAGCTTAAACCAGCCTAGGATTTTAGCTGGTCGTCCAGCCTGGTTTTAGAGGGGTTTTGGCCATTTCCAGCCAGGACAGGCTGGTAGATGAGCAGCTAAAACCAGCTTGACCAGCCTAGCCAGTTAGGAGCCCAGCTAAAACCAGCTTAAACCAGGATGGTCAAGCTGGTTTTAACTGGTCACTTTTCAGCCTGACCAGCTAAGGCCAGGCTGGAAATGGCTGGAAACCAGCCTGGAAGTGGCCAAAACCCCTCTAAAACCAGCCTCGTCGACCAGCTAAAACCAGCCAACCAGCTCTGACTGGTTTTAGCTGGATTTTTCAGCAGGGTCCCAACCTTTTTTTTTGCCCTTGGACCCCCTTTTCCCCTGGAAAAAAGATATTGAACGGCCCCTCCACATTTAATGATATAATCACTCATATGAGTTTGCAGTAATGATGACAAAACATGTTGTCAAACAAACGGTGTGATTATTACTATATTTAGAGGCGGGCAGGGTGTTTCGTAGGTTGCTAGGCGACCATAAACCGTTTTCTCAGAGGATGACAAGCTGACAAAACGTTGTCAGTCTCTGATACAAATTTTGTTGATGGAGAAAATAACAAGGCATTGCAGTGTTTGTCACGTGACTTGCGCCTCATTTAAAAACAACAAACTTTTGCAAACTCTAGAAATACGCGATAAGCGAACGGCCCCTGACGCAATCTCAGTCAGTTGATCTTCTTGTGCAGACATGCTGGATTCACCTGATTTGTTGACAATGGGTTGCGGATCCATACCTTGGCAGTTCGTGGGTCGTTCACTGAGCCCCCTGAGCAAGGAAACTTTCCAAAGACGTCTGTTTCTCACACATTTTGCTGCTTGTGAGTTAAATGTTGGTGCTCAAGTAACCGAGACGTAAGCAAGAGAATACGGTCATTTTTCAAAATAAAAGACTTTTCAAAATAAGAGATAATAAACAAACAAAAATAATTAAGGATTTCTTCTGTGGCCCGGTAACAATCGATCCACGGTCCACTACCGGTGCGCTACCACTGAGCTAGGGGATAAAATAAACTAAGGCAACATGATCTTTCTCACAATGAGTCAAGCTTTAGCTGTGATTATGACAGAGGCTGTGATCTGTGCTCGTGTTTGCAGGTTGCAGCCACGCTCAACAACCTGGCGGTCCTGTACGGAAAGAGAGGAAAGTACAAGGAAGCAGAACCGCTGTGCAAAAGAGCCCTGGAGATCAGAGAGAAGGTCAGTGTCAATGTAAATATGTCATTTCCCACACAGAGTGCTGGAAAAGTTTAAAAATGCAACTGGAAAGTGTTTGAGAAGTGCTTGAAGGTACACTTTCCCATCGGGTAAATGAACTGTTTACTCACCCGTCACTTGTTCAAAACCTTTACGAGTTTCTTTCCACTGTTGAACACAAAAGAAGATGCCGTAAACCGGTAACCATTGACTTGCATAGTATTTGTTTTCTCTATTATGGAAATCAATGAGTTTTCAGCTTTCTTCAAAACATCTTCTGTGTTCAACAGAACTCATTAAGTTTTTGACACCAGTAAACAGTGAGTGATATGTCATTTTGGGGAGAACTATCCCTTTAAATTTGAACTGAAAGTGCACACTCACACACACACACACACACACACACACACACACACACACACACACACACACACACACACGTTTGGCCAGTCTGTTAGCTGTCTTCATCAGTGTTGTTTTGATCCAGGTGCTGGGTCGAGAGCATCCAGACGTGGCCAAGCAGCTGAACAACCTGGCGCTGCTCTGCCAGAACCAGGGCAAGTATGAGGAGGTGGAGTACTACTACTGCAGAGCTCTCGACATCTACGAGAAACGACTCGGCCCTGATGACCCCAATGTGGCCAAGACCAAAAACAACCTGGTGAATATCCTTGATCAATACATTTACATTTAGTCATTTAGCAGACGCTATCATCCAAAGCGACTTACAAATGAGGACAAGGAAGCAATTTACACAACAATGAACATACATACAGTGGGGGGAAATAAGTATTGAGTGTGTCATGTATTTTCCTGGGAATAATCTTTCTAAAGGAGCTGCTGACATGGAATTGAACCAGATTTAGAGGCTTAAAGCCGCCTCTCATATGGAGAGTGAAGT